GCCCCAGTCCGGAGGCTTTGGGAAGGGTTCCCACCTTCCCGCCGAGCTCCGGAGGCCCCGGGCGTGGCCTGCTCAGGTCGAGCATGTTCCCCGGCCTGGCAGCTGGCCTCTCGGGAGGGGGCAGAGGGAGCAGCGGGGCAGCGGCGGAAGGGCGGAGCCGGCGGAACGAGTGAGCGGGCCGCCGCACCGGCTGCCCGTCGGGGGAGTTCGCGGTGACACGCGTGGGACAGCGGCTTCGCGGGGCAGCGGTGAGGCCAAAGCCGGGCCGGGGATGGCGCCGGACGGGGCGCGCGCGGCTCTCAGCGCCTGGGTGCGAGCCGGTCGGGGGAGGCCGTGGGAGTGGGTGTCCGTGCAGCCGTAGGGAGGGGGGGCAGGGCTGCCCTAGCTGCTGTCCAGCGGCGGCCGGACCCCGGGGTGCGGGAGGCGGAGGTCCCTCTCTGTCCCGGCGGGAGGGCTGCGGGGCAGGAGGGCGGGCCTGGCGCCTGCGCCGGGACGACAGGTGGGCGGGCCGGACAGGTGCGCCTCCCCAGGCTTCGCGGGCGCAGTGGGCACAGCGAGTGCCCGGGGGTGGGTGGCTCGCCCGCTCAGCCGGCCGAGAAGACTGGCGGACCCTGGGGGTGTTGCGGCCCGGATTGAGGCCGTCGCAATAAAGCAGTGGGTTCCCGGTCCACTAAGAGTCGTGTGTACTGTGCTGCAGTCCATCAAGGGTGCAGGAGCAGTATGTCCAGGACGTGTGCGTGCCTCAGTTGAAAACACTTTACTGCTGAGACATGCTGACCGTCGTCCGACCTCCGCGGGTCGCAGTCGTCTTGCCTCCACCGTGATGGCCGCCCACTGACTATGGGGTGGTGGTTGCTCAGGGCCAGGCTGGCTGTGGCAGTTCCTCAAAACAACAGCGAAGTCGGCCGCAGCGATTCCCTCTCACTTTCCAACCACGTCTCTGCCGCACGCGATGCTGTTTTTTAGCATTTTACTCACAATAGCACTGCTTTGTCAGCTAAGTTGATGGGATATTCTGAACCGCGTGTTGTCATTTCAACGATCTTCATGGCATCTTCACCAAGAGTAGATTCCATCTCAAGAAGCCACTCAAGAAGCCACTCCTCGTCCTTTAAAGTTTGGCCATGAGATTGTAGTAACTCAGTTGAATCTTCAGGCTCCACTCCTATTCTAGTTCTCCTGCTAGCTCCCCCACATCTGCAGTCCCTTTCTCCACGGAAGTCTGGAACCCCTCAGTCAGTCGTGGGTCTGAGTTAACGCTTTCCAAACACCTGTGAATGTCGGTATTTTGAGTTTTCCCATGAGTGTTCTCAATGGCATCTAGAATGGTAAGTCCATTCCAGAAGATTTTCGACTCACTTTGCCCAGTTCCATCGGAGGAATCACTCTTCGTGGCAGCTAGAGCCTTACGAAATGTGTCTTAAATAATAAGACTTGCACTGGGCAGTTTGGCTCCATGGTTAGAGTGTTGGCCCGCAGAACAATGAGTCGCAGGTTTGATTCCGGGCACATCGGTTGCGGTTTGTCCCCGGCCCTCTTTGGGGTCATGCGGGAGGCAGCCACTCAGTGTGTTCCTTTCACATCAATGTTTCTCTGTCTCTCTCTCTTCCTCTCTCTCCCTCACACTCTATCTGAACAAAAATGGAAACATGTCCTCAGGTGAGGATAAAAAATAATAATAATAAGACTTGAAAGTTGACGTTACTCCTGGATCCATGGGCTGCGGGATGGATGTTGTGTTAGCAGTCAGGACAATGTTGATCTCATTGTCCATCTCCAACACAGCTCTTGGGGGACCAGGTGCGTTGTCAATGAGCGGCTATATTTTGAAAGGAATCCTTTTTCCTGAGCAGTTAGTCTCAACGGTGCGCTTAAAATATTCAGTAGCCTTGTTATAAACAGATGTGCTGTCAGCCAGACTTTCTTGTTCCATCTATAGACACAGGCAGAGTACACTGAGCATATTCTTAAAGGCCCTGGAATTTTTGGATTGTCAATGAGCACTGGCTTCAAGTTAAAGTCACTGCTGCATGAGCTCCTCACGAGAGAGTCAGCCTGTCCTTTGACGCTTTGAAGCCAGGCATTGCCTTCCCTCTGGCTAGGAAAGCCCTAGATGGCACCTTCCAATATAAAGCTGTGTCACCTACATAGAAAATCAGTGGTTTAGCCACTTTCATCACTTGTCTCGACTGATCTTCTGGACAACTTGCTGCAGCGCCTACATCAGCTTCACCTTGCACGTTTATGGTACAGAGACAGCGTCTTTTCTTAAACCTCATGGACCAACCTCTACCAGTGTCAGACTTTCCTTCTGTAGCTTCCTCACCTCTCTCGGCCTTCGTAGCATTAAAGCGAGGTAGGGCCTTGCTCTGGATCCAACTTTGGCTTAAGGGAACGCCGTGGCTGGTTCGGTCTTCTATCCAGACCACTAAAACGTCCCCCATATCAGCAAATATGGTAAATAGAGCGGAAGACCAAAACTGAACCTTGGGGCTGCAATTTTAAGAAATCTCGGACAAAAGAGCCAACAGGAAAAGAGACAGTGGAAGAGGAGGGACCAGAGAGGTATAGAGGAAACCTGGGGCTCTAGTGAATCTAGTTTATTAAGGAGAGGGATGCCTTGGGGCAAATATTTCTGATAGGGCAAGTGAGTTAAAGCTTGAGACATGACCCTGGGGTTGACCCATCCGGAGGTCAATGGTTATTTAACAAGAGCAGCTTTTGTGTAGTGATGAGGCCTGATTAGCATGGGCTTAAGAACGAGTGGGAGGACCTTATCTACCTGATGCTTTCTACTTTATGTCCTACCTCTTTTATGTTTTCTCCTTTCTTGCCCTTCTTTAGGTCAATTAATTTTTATCATCCACCCCCACCCCACCCCACCCTACTAGATTTAAGTTATATACTATTTTCTATTATCTTAGTAGTTACCTTTAAAATTACAACACAGGCCCTGACCGGTTTGGCTCAGCAGTTAGAGTGTCAGCCTGCGGACCAAAGGGTCATGGGTTCAGTTCTGGTCAAGGGCACGTGTTTGGGTTGTGGTTTGATCCCCAGCCCTGGTTGGGATTGTGTGGGAAGCAACCAATCGATGTCTCTCTCACATCAATGTCTCTCTCTCTCTCTCCCCTTCCCTTCCACTCTATCAAAAAAAAATAAAAAAATCAATGGAAAAATATCCTCATGTGAGGATGAAATAAATAAATGAAATGAAATAAAACTACAACACACATCACATCAAAGTGTAATGTTGATCTGGACAATATAAGGACCTTTGAGCACCTTGATTCCAAGAGCTTCACTTGACTTTCTGTTGGGTCTAGAATTTTAATTCTTTTTTCCCCAACCCTGTACTATATTGTTTATTAATTCTGCTTGGATTCATTAAACTTCTTGAGTGCAGGTTGTTATGCTGAGTGAATTCTAGAACTTTCTCAGCCATCCTCTTCCAGTGTTGCCTGTGCTGTCCTCTGTGGTCCCCCGGCCGTGTGCGTGTGCGTGGTGGGCCTTTTCGCTCCGCCTCCTACGTCTCCTAACCTCTCCCATGTGTTCTGCTTTGTTTCCCTCTCTGCCTCAGGCTAGTTTCTTCTGATTTACTCTTTGAGCTTATTCCTATTTCTCGTCAACTTTTAAATCCATTCATTGAGTTTTCACTTTTGGCTGTTGTATGCGGCCTTTTCTTTTTCTTCGTCTTTTTTTATCCTCATCCAAGGATATGTTTGTTGATTTGAGAAAGACAGAGGAAGAGGGTGGAGAGAGAGAGAGAAACATCGATCACTTACCTCCGTGTGAGCCCCAACCGGTGACCAAACCCACAGCCTAAGTATGTCCCCTGAGCAGGAATCCAGCCCACAACCTGTTGGTCCACGGGACGATGCTCCAGCCAACGGAGCCACCCAGCCAGGGCCACTCTAGTGCTTTTCAAACATGCTAAGTTACTTTTTGAAAATGGGCCCTTTTTTCTTTAAACATAGGAAACATTGTTTTATAAGTTTAGTCTGATAATCCCTATAGTTGAAGCCCTTATGGGGCAATTTCTGCTGTTTCTTCCAGTTCTCACTAACAATACCTTACTTACTTCTTTAGGTTCTTTTTGACCATTATCCTTGAAAGATTGTGAGCGAGTCTTCTTTGGGGCCTAGGGTGAAGGTGTGTCCTCACGGAAAAGATGTACATTCTGCTAGTTCCCTAGAAGCCCTGTAAATGTTCGCCGACCCCTTTGCAAGTCCACACGAGGTGCATTGTGTGGTGTAGCCCAGCCCCCACCGCGTGTGCCCGGCGTCCTTCAGCCCCCTTCTCCTGGAACAGCCGATGCCCTCGGAGCACCAGCGACTTCCTGAAGCTGTTTACCTCTCTAGGTTCCTTAACTTTACCTACACGGGGACGGCCTGATTTTTCTCACTATTATTGAAGCGTTTCAAAAAATATGTTCAATATTTTACCCAGTATTGTTAGTTGCTTTCTACAGAAAAGATGTGTCCAAATAGTCTAATCTGTTTACTACTGGAAATGGATTGGTCCACCTATTTTTTATTAAGCTGAAAAAGAAGCAGTAACTTCATTTCAACTTAGCAAGTTTCTGATAAAACAAATGTTTAGGCATATACTGCATTAAGATATCTTCAGCAAGCACTGCTCTTGTGTGGCTCAAATGGTGGAGCATTGTCCCTTACACCAAAAGGTTGCCGGCTCGATTCCTGGTCAGGGTACATGCCCAGGTTGCAGGTTCGATCCCCAGTCGGTCAGGGTGTGGGGGGGAAGCAACTGATCGCAATGCTTCTCTCTCTCTTTCTCCCTCTCCCTCTCTCTAAAAACAAACAAACAAAAAAGTTTTAGAAAAAAAGAAATATATTTAGCAAATTCCTGTATTTTCCAGTTCCTTACGCATGCAAATGTATTATTTATTAATAGTGAAATAATTTTTAACTTAACTATAAATTATCTATCTTTTCTGATTTATGTAGGACTAACTTCTTCAGTACTTAGCATCCGAGAAAAATGGAAAATACGGACAGTGATTCTACGCATCTTCTCGTCCCTGAGGTGGACCCTGAAACCCATCCTGGACCTGGCAATATCCAGTTTGACCCATCAGATCTAAGATCCAAAAGGTAAGTGTTTAAAATAAAACTTATTTCATAGTTAGAGTTTTTAATTATTAAATAGGACCAATTACAACCAAACATGTGTAATTTTAACTATGTAATGCCCAGCTTCTTCCAGGGTCTGCGTGTTTGCAGCGGAGGGACTAAAGACGAATGCCGTTTCCCCGTTGATATTTTGACTTTTCAGCCGCACGCAACATCTCTGTTAGGGGGCGTTCGATTTATGAAGGTGCACTGATACAATTTATTTAACAAATACACACTGATTATCTGCTTCGTGCAAGGTAATGTGCTAGGTGCTGAGGATAGAACGGTGAATGTAGTACACAGTCCTGACCTTCACTGGGTTAAATTCCAGCACACAGTCTAAGGTTTGAGTTTGAATTTATTTCATTGCATACTTGGAAAACCCAAAAGAATGTGCTGAAACTTCGTTATAAATAGTAAGAGAATTCAGTAAGGTGACTGTTTATAAAATAGGCAGAAATAAATAGCATTGTGATGAGAAAATGCAATGGAAGAAAAGATAAAATGTCTAGGAATAGCCTTAAGAACGTGCAAACGCAGTACGAGAACCTCTGAAGGGCTGCTGAGGGGCCTAAAGTAAGACGGGACTATTTCTTCCAACCTGAGCTGCTGGCCGCACGGCGCTCAGGTGCACCGCTGCCAGCAGCCTGGTGCCACATCCTCGTAGGGCGCGGCTTTTTGTTGTTTTGTTTTTACTGAAGGAACACTTGGACTTTTTTGGTATTTTATCCTGTGTCATATATCTTTTGGGCAACTATAAAAATGAAAATCAAAACAGTGTATCAGTTGAGGTATTCCTACTCTGATTGTTCGCATTTAGAATGATTCTTCCAAATCACTTTTTGGAGTCATCCGAATCGGTGTTTTTTTCCCCCGTGCAAAAGTCTCCTTTGTACCATCGAGATGGTACATTTGATGATGGAGCATTTATTGAAAGGATTTTCTTCCAAATCTCTGGCTTTGTTCTGATGCTTGCCCTTCCCTGACCTTACGCAGGTGTCACCGAAGGTTTTCTAACAACACATGGCACATCTTCCTCCAGTGGTCCTCAAATGTTCTGATGACCGTGGGGACCAGGGATGACATTTATCTGCCATGCCACCAGGCGTGATGACCGGCTCGCAGGGACTAAAGATGTGCTGGGTGGTGTGATGCAGCCATATTTAGCAATGTTTCAGTGTGTCTAGGACAATCAGTAAACTGACATGGACAGAAAGGCATAGTCCGCTCTCAGCGGGAAGACTAAAATCGAATGTCCTGCTCTTTACATTTTAGTCCATAAATTTAATGTGCCCCCCCCCCCAAAATGCCAGCAGCCAACTCCAAAGTTTATGTGACCCAGCAATTTCATGTCAGAGCATTAATTCTCAATGTCAAATAATATATGTACAAGGTTATTGAATGCAGTATTTTTTATAAGAGCAAAAGATTGGAAACAACCAAAATGTCTTTTCTATAGGACTGAACACATGGCATATTAATACAGTGGAATTTTTTCACCCATTAAAAAGAAGGAAGTGACTATTACATATTGAAATGGAACGAGTCTTCAACGTATTTTATGTGAAAAAAGTGAAGGGCCTAGCAGTGTGTATAGTATACCACTGTTTGGGTGAAAAACAAGTTAATACATTAAACATGGTACAATGTGTGTAAGTGACTGCAGGAGAGGTAGGGCCTGGGAGCGGGCTGGCCTCCTCAGAGAGACAGCTGGGTGGGAGGTGTTGCCGGTACGGTGAGATAAAGACCCGACGGGTATTCAGCAGCCCCGCCATGTTTGCCAGCAGAACCCCGGTTTTGTTGCGGGTCGCAGTGAGTGACGGTCCGGGAGACGGAGGAGAAGCGGTGGAGCCAGTCTCGATAGTCCTCTGCCCGTCCAGATACGGGCGCGCCGCTCACACGAGGCTTCCGAGCAGCGGTCGGCAGGTGATGCGCGGCAGACGCACATGGGCTGGCTGTTCGTGCAGCCTGGTGCTCCGGACTGTCACCTGCACGGCATGTGGCTGTGCCGAGGTGCTGCAGGCCGCTGGAATGCGTTGTGCCGCGATGTCATGGCGGCTACGGTGTCACTAGGTGGTAGGAAATTTTCAGCTCCGTTCTAATCTTTTGGGGCCATCATGGCATATGCAGTCCGTCTTGACCAAACCGTCGTTATACGGCTCATGACTACACTTAAATTTCAGTCTTCTCTGCAGCTAGAAGTGGCATTGTGAGACATACCACATGAGAAGTGTGTCACCATCACTGATGGTGGCCGTCACGGAGGTAATGACATGGGTCTTGTCATTCTCACCTGTGTATTCCAGCGTCAGGGACTACAAGAACTAGTGGAGGCAGTGGAATGCTCGGGGCGCTCGGGAACCTCTGCATTCTGTGCTAAATAATGGAGCACTGTGACGGCAGGACGTGGCCAGTGCGTCCTTCCCACCGCAGTGCGCCGGCAGGACCTGGACAGTTCTCCGAGAACTTGCTTAACCGTGGAGACTGCATGGAAATACACGTTCTGTAATGAAACTTGTCAAGAGGAGAGGGACTCGGCCCTTCACAGCCGTGAGATAGCGCCCTAGGTGAGCACGTTTGAGGAAGGCGGACATGTGTGCACACCCAGCAGCACGGAGTGTTAACTTGCCCCTGAAACAATGTGTGTTGAAAACAAACTATTATTTGATGAGGAAAAGAGTAGAAGCACCTTAAATAGTTACTTCTATGAACACATGAGTCACTTCACTTTACATATGTAAGTACTTGGACACACTGAGGGGCCTTCATCTTCCGCAGGGAACACTAGCTCGGACCCTATTCCAGAAACTCATTATTGCAGAGTGGACGCATGACTGGTGACATCCCGCCACCTCCTCTGTCGTAGCACAGCTTAATGTCGTTTTAGTTATTAGCTTCTAATTTTGTTCTTTTTGTTAATCCTGAGAGTATTTTTTTCCATTGATTTTAGAGAGAGTGGAAAGGAGGGAGGGACAAGAACAGAGAGAGAAACATTGATGTGAGAGAGACACATCCAGGTTTGGGGATTGAACCTGCAACCCGGGTACGTGCCCCCGAAGGGGAATTGAACCTGCGACCCCTTGCTTCAAGGGGTTCTAACCACTGAATCATGCTGGCCAGGGCTAGTTATTAACTTTTAAAAATTAGGGTTCATTTAGCCTCATCTTCACATGTTTGTGAAATGGTGAATTTGAAGTGTTGTCTATACTTGTTTCTACTATGGGTTGAACAGATATCAGAGTTAACATGGCACTCATCCCGTGCTACCCGAGGTCATCTTACTTGTGACCACACTTTGGAAAACTGTCCTCAGCTGTTCGAGTTGTTGAGGGACACAGTTCGGCCGAGTGAAGGGGAGATCTAGCTGGCTTTCTCGCGGTTCAGGAATTGGGCAGCATCCCGTCTAGGATGCAGGGGACTCTGGGGAGCTCTGCGAAAGGGGAGGCTTCGTAGTCAGGAAGGGGACGAGCCGAGAAGTTATCAGACAAGCAGGGTCACCTTCCTTTAGGAGAAGTCGGCTCTGTTGGGCAGGTGACCTCACTAGTGTTGACTGGTAATTCCAGACGGACTGCTTAAAGGTTACTTTCCTGGGAGAGGCAGAAATGCAGTTATAGGTGTTAGGTTGGTTTGCTGAATGGGACTTAGCAGAAGTGACTTCATTTTGGGCCTATTTGTTGTTTTCAACAGAGGATAGAAAACGGCATGTGATCCTTTTAGCTGTGGTCGCCCTCACTTTAGCTTGTGGTCAGTTCTCTCTCTTCCACTAGGTGGCAGTCAAAACCACGTATCAGTTCAAACCAAAGTAAAGGGGACCTGCTTATCTTTGGGTGGAGCTGGGTTCTAGTTGCACTGTTGCTGTGGAGGGAAGAGCTTGTCATAAGCGTTGGGATCACTGGGGAACTTTTGCAGATGACACAGGCCCTCTCCCGCTGCTGGCTTTCCTCCCCTCCCCCAGCCGTTTTTCACTGGGTCTGGGTGGAGCGAGGAATGCAGGGGAGGGACAGGAAGGGCTAGAAATCTCTGCTGTGTTTGAAATATCATTGGAAGCAGTCGTCTTGGGGGTTGTTTTCCTGCTTTCGCAGACTTTCTGGTAACCAGATAGAGCTGGTATCGGGATTGCCTCCTACTCGGCTGCCGCCCCAGGTCATTCATGCCAGCCCCCGAAACCAGGCTGCTCAGAGCTTCCCGTTCAGTTCCTCAGCTCCGCTCTTCCTTCCCGCCCGTGCGCCCGCTCCCGGGACAGAGCTCACGGGAGCCACCCCGCAAGGCTGTGTAAGCCACTGGTCTTCGCCTGGTCACCGTTATGTACCCAGCCTGCCCCGCGGGCTTTGCTGCTTGTCTGGTGCTGTGATGGCAGATGCTCACTGCTTCTCCACGGCTGTTCGCCGTTCGACCCGGGGGACCCTAGAAACACAGACGAGTGACCTCAAGTGAGAGTTTTCTAATGCTCTGGTCAGCCACTGGGGTAGAGGTAGATTTTTAAAATAGGCAGCATTCCTGCCCGGCCCCTGTGGCTCAGTGGTTGAGTGTCGTCCATGCACCAAGAGGTCGCAGGTTCGATTCCCAGTCAGGGCACATGCCCAGGTGGTGGGCCTGATCCCCAGAGGGGGGCGTGCAGGAGCCACCAATCGATGTTCTCTCTCATCCATGTTTCTACCTCTCTCTCCCTCTCCCTTCCCCTCTCTCTAACATCAATAAAGAAAAATAAAATGAAACAGGCAGCAGTCCTGGTGCCCTGCCAACACCACAAGCGCGTGACCCTGGCTTTCTGGAAGGCTGGCGCGTCTGTGAGATGGCCTTGCCCACGGTCGCTGTCAGTGCACTGTCCCCGAACAGCGATGGACGCGGGTGCCGGGGGCGAGAGCGAGGAAGCAGAGCGAAGTGAGAAGCTCAGCAGTCGCTGTGCAGGGTGAATCCTGGCCAATGACAGTGGCTACGGGTTCATAGTGGGTCATAGTTTCCAGAGCTGCAAGCGGTGCATTTGGAGGGACCTGCCCTCCTCGGTCAGCAGACAGGACAGGAGTCTCCACCGTCAGCAGTTCCCCAGAGTTGCTGGCCCACCTGCTGATGGGGTTACTGCTTCTGCACCGCCCCCCTCTCTGTGTCTCCCTCTTCAGTCCACGTCTCCCACCTCACTCCTCCCCACTTCCCCCTGTTACTTTTCCCTGGTGTAACTTTTTTAAAAATATGTTTTTATTGATTTTTTTTTTAGACAGAGAAGAAAGGAGAGAGAGAGAGAAACATCGGTCGGCTGCCTCCTGCATATCCCCTACTAGGGATCGATCCTGAAACTCGGACATGTACTCGGAACAGGAATCGAACCAGGGATCTCTCAGTTCATGGGACGACGCTGAATCCACTGGGTAACTCTCTTTGCTAAATGTTTAAAGAAGACGATCCTGGCTGTGGGGTTAGAGATGCTGCAAGTATATATGCCTGTATGACGTGTTAGAATGGGATCTGAGCTCTCGTCCCATCAGAACCCTGTCTTCACTCTGAGTCACAGGTTCTCACCAGTTTCCCTCCGCCTCTCCCCAGATGTCTGTCTGCTCCCTGCCCTCCTGCACCCATATCTGCTTGCCTGGTTCTGGGTTCTGTCCTGTTTTGCTGTTTGTTTCTATTTTGCCTATAAACTAGGCATGCTTTGTTTTCTTCCCTCTTCCTTCCTCATCAAGGTTGTGTAGAGAGGCCTCAACACAGGGGTCCTAGTTGAGCCTGACGGGTGCTCCTTAAGGCCGAATCAGAAGTGTGTTTTGTTGGGAGGAAAAGGTATGAGGAGTTGGCTAGGGGAAGAAACTTTCCTCTGCTTCTGGTTTCTGCTGGCTGCTCCAAAAATTAAATTTTTCTGAGAGAAGTGAACATGAGCATCAGAGACCCCACATGCGGGAGCGGTCCAGCGGCGGAGCATGAGACGGCACAGGTGGCATTCTGAGCTAGGGGCGAGGGAGGAGCCCGGGGCAGAGGGAGGTCGGGCACTGGCAGGGTAGCGGAGCAGGTGTCCAGTAAGCAGATGTTTGCTCTGCCATGAAACATTGTCTCTGGGAGTGATCTCCATGGGAAGGCCTGTCGTTCACAGTCTTCTAGTCTTCCTGGGCGCGGGGGCAGACGTCTCTCTGGGCCCCTCAGGGCTCCATCGGCTCATCTTGCCTGGCCTGTTCTAACTATTCTGGAGATACGGGGAACTGACGAGACACTGAAGAGTAATGACCTGTAGGTCAAAAAGAGGAGGAGACCCGGAAGGAGAGCCCCACACCCCCAGGACCTCAGCCCCCTTCACTGGTGCTGAGAAGTCGAGCAGAGCTTCCAGCAGCTTTTCAGAGCTGGAGGGAGAGTAACTGGAGCCCGGGCCGCACTGACAGTGGAAGCCCGCAGCTCTGTAAGCTCAGAGCTGGGGGTGACCTTGAAATAGAATGGCCTTCTTGCCCAGACTGTAGTTCAGCGTGAACTCACCTCATTCCCCAAAACTGCATGGAAGGAGTGTAGGATTGCTGAGGGTCTCAGATTGGCTCCCAGAAGCAAAGGTAACCCTTTGTAAGGCAGATATGATCACCCCAGGCTCAGGTCATGTTTGTTCACTGTTTTCCACGTGTGACAGTCGGACGCGCACCGCAGGCACCTGATCAGACAGCTGGGCAGGGAGCTGGCAGGACCACAGGGTTAGAGTGAAGAGACGGTGTGTGGTGGAGACTGGAGGCAGATGACGGGACTGATCAGGAACAGGCTTGCATAGCGCGGTCTTTAGTGTGCTCAGGGACATGGAATAAGGGGGAGGAGGAACCAAATTCATGAAACATGTTTGTTGGATGAAAAAGAAGCAAATGGGCCCTGGCCGGTTTGGCTCAGCGGTTAGAGCGTCGGCCTGTGGTCAGAGAGACCCGGGTTCTGTTCCTGCTAGAGGCACGTACTTCGGTTGCAGTTTGTCCCTGGCCCTGGTTGGTCGTGCGGGTGGCAGCCACTCGATGTGTCCCTTTCATGTCGATGTTTCTCTCTCTCTCTCTTCCTCTCTCTCCCTCCCACTCTGTCTGAACAAAAAATGGGAAAATGTCCTCAGGTGAGGATAAAAAAAAAGAAGCAAATGGAAAGTCTGGAACTAAAACAAAATCCTGGTCAGCAGTCAGTCAACGACAAGTATGAGTTAGTAAGTTAGCTGTTGAGACCCAGTGGTCAGGGCAGGTTCCACACTGGCCTCTCGCCTTCGTCGGTTTGCTCTGTCGTCTGGGACCGTGCTAAGCGCTGCGAATCCCACCAGCAGCGGGTTCCGGTCAGGCTGCTGCAGGGCTAACCGTCTGGGTCGCAGGTGGAGCCTTGGCCACCTGAGGGACCGCTTCCCGGACACCGCTTGGTGCCGGTGTCTTCCGGTGGCCAGGCGGACCTCCGCACTCTGCCTGTCCGAGAGCCACCGTGCAGATGCCTGAGGCTTCCTTACGTGTGGGAGACCATGAGAAAGGGCTCCTTTTCTGTGGTGCTCTGTCTGAAGAGTAGGTGAGTTTTGTTTTTGTGATTTCAGTTTCTTGTAACTGAATTAAGATACTGAAGAAAGCAATGTTAGTGTTCATTTGAAGAATCACATGTATATATTAAAAATAAGATTTATCTGTCTATACATTCTTAAAGAATTCTTTACCTTTTTCGTTACCTTTCCAGTTTTTAAGGAAAGGAAATTTTAGTTAAAATGCTGGCCTGGCATTGTTCTTCTTTCCTATTTTTCTTTTAATCTCCCTGAGGATATGTTTCTGTTGATTTTCGAGAGAAAGGAAAGGAGGGAGAGAGAGACATCAGTCAGTCGCCTCCCACACGCACCCCGACCAGGGATCGAACCCGCAACCTAGGTACGCGTCCTGTCGGGAATTGAACTTACAACCTTCGGCATACAGTCCCTCGTTTATCACGGTTGATCCATTCTAGCGGTTGCACCTGGCATTGAAGGCGTCCTGGGTGCTCGAGTACATAGGCCTACAGTCCATACGTACAGGAATTTTAATTTAATTTTAATACAGGGGTGTATAACTGACTCAGACAACCGAGCGCGCATTGTACCATTTTCACTGTCTCTATCAACTTTGTAATGAATATGTTTGAAAAAACCGCGGTAGAGTGAAGCCGCGAAAGTCGAAGTGCGAAGTGATGAGGGACCACTGTGCGAACGATGCTCCGGCCAATTGAGCCACACTGGCCAGGACTCCTGCTTTTTTTTTTTTTTTTTTTAATGGGATATAATTAGGTTATGAAACTGGAAATTTTATTTTTTTCCAGAAATTCTTTAGATAGATTTGTGTAAGAGAGCAATAATTAGCATGACCTTGCAGGCTGAAGCCTCCCCTTTGTTTATAATTAAGACAGCTCTTTGTTTCAAGATACTAAGTTTATCATCTCAGTTTGCTGTATTTAAGTGAATTGAAACAAGTAGTGATTTATTTTGGCATTCTCATGAAGTGGCTGAAGGGGGCACTACTGGGAGAGCTGTGTCCCCGGGGAGTTTCCCACAATCCGGATCTTGCCGCGCTGGGGTCGCTCGCCCCGTCCTTAGACCTGCGCGTCTCGTGGGGACGGGCGTCCAGGGCCCACGTCCCTGCTCCGCGCCAGCCTGGAGAAGAGCAAAAGAGCGGTCGCGGGCCCTTGCTCCAGGCGCTTCTCGTGTCTCAACTTGTTCAGGTGCTCCGGTGTTTCCACAGTCCCTCCAGCCCACTCTCCGCCGAGGGGGCACAGAACAGAGCAGCCCTTCGCACTCCCTTACCGGTCACTTTGTAGCCATGAAAAAAGAGATTGTTTTCACGACAACAGAACGAAAATAATTTATGAACTTTTTTAAAACCAATTTTTGAAAGCATGGCTTGCATTAAAAGAATTTGAAATTCGTTCTTAGCAAAATTCTGTTTTTAATTAAGATATATGGGCCTGAGAATTAATATTCAGATCAAATTCTTTGTCCATATGTTTTTTTGTGTTTTATTTTAATCCTCACCTGAGGCTATTTTTTCAAATATCTTCAGATAGAGTAGGAGGAGGGGAGAGAGAGAGAAACATCGATATGAGAGGGACACATTGACTGGTTGCCTCCCGCATGACCCCGACCAGGGCCGGGGACGAACTGAAACTGAGGCATGGGCCCTTGACTGAAATCAAACCCAAAACTCTGGTCCACAGGCGGACTCCAACCGCTGAGCCAAACCCGCCAGGGCTCTTTGTCCATATGTTGATGAAGATGTTTACTTGCAACTAAGTAACAGCTTGGCCTTCTAACAAAAGGAACCCAGCACCTTAAACCAGGTGTTTATCAACATTCATTTTTTTCATCAGACCACCCTTATCAGTTAAAAAATAATAACAGTCTTAAAAATTTGGGACTGCATGTATGTGTGTATGCATTTGCAAATTATGTACATATACATCTGTTCTTATGTTATAAAACATGAAAATGGAAATTTTAAAATTGTAAGATGCAATCATTACTCTTGATAAAGCTACCTTTTATTAACAGTACATTATAACTTTTGCTGCCACTTTATAATATTATCAATAACTAAATATACCTTATTTATTTGGAAAAGCATGTAATAACTCGACCACACGGTAACTCAGAGAGGGATTTGAGTCCCACCTCAGTCTCGTGCAGCAGGTGAGTCGACGTGTCTGTCGACCTGACCGGGAAATTTCCACCCTCCTGTCGCTGAGTGCTCACAGTTAGTGCAGTGTGTGTCCTGGTGTCTGCTAGTTTGAAAATCCAAAATGCTGATGTCACTGTGTGTTTGGTTCTGTTCATTGGGAGGCTCCTTTCTTGACTCTCTTCAGTGTACCCCCCAGCTCGGGGCTGTGCCTGAGAGAGAGGTGCGTGGGGGGGGGCGGCTTCACTAGGTGGTGCCACGGGTTATACCAGCTTTCACTCTCTGTGGGTGGGGGTTTCCACCTGCTCTGCTTCCCTGCCAGCTGTTTTTTCTAGAGACTGAGGTTGGCAGAATGTTGTTAACGATTCTGTTGGGTTTATAGGCGATTTTTCTATTTCTAATGCGTTCTAGAGACTGCCCTTCGCCTTCAGCTCCCCTTCCATCGCTCCCCCGCGTCTTTGCGGAAACCTGGCCCGGATGATCTGCGGTCACACACCCTGTTGTCCCGCCAGAACCCGCTTCCGCCAGGCTTTCGCCCTGACCGCTCCACTGACCCGCTCACGTCCAGGCCACCAGTGGTCATTTCGTTGATTAGTCCTCGCCTGGTTGGACACAGTCGTTCTCTACTCTGATTGGCTGAGGACGCTGCCGCTTCTCACTTCCTGTCGCGTGTCCTGCTGTGACGCTCTCCGCCACTTCTCCAAGTACTTAGTTTTAAAATGTTAAACCTGCAGAAAAGTGGAAAGCATTATCCCCATGATATTTCACTAACTTTTTTCCAGCTGTAGAAGTAATACAGGGCTTGGACAGCCGCCCTACAGCCCTCGGAGATGTCACCACTGGGGAGCCCGAGTGGAGAGTAGGGTAGCTGTCAGTGTTGGTTTCCAACTTCTGTTTGAGTCTAAAGTTATTTCTAAATAAACTGCTTTTCTTAAAGTAATACACCACATTAGTCACCAGATTTTACTTATTTGCTCTGTTCTATTGAGCTCCTGCAATGGGCCAGGGGCCCTTCTCGGCCCTGGGAGCACAGTAGTGACCGAGCTGACGCAAGTCCCTGCCCTCCTGGAGCTCCCGTGGATGGAGGGATCGGTAACGGGACGGAGGACAGGCAGTTGTTGCCACGGAGACGATGTGAAGCAGAGGCCCAGGAAGTGAGCAGGTGGAGAAGGGGCTGAGACCGGACTGCGGGCAGGACAGTGGCCGGTGGGAGAGGGCAGTTGAGGGAAGGAGGGAAGAGCTGCTGCGAAGGACGCGCGCTTGTGCTCTGCATGTTGCTGCACAGCGGGGCCTGGGCAGCCCCGGGCCGCGGCAGGTGAGGGGTGACAGCGCTCCGGGACATCTGCACAAGGGATGCTCCTCGGTCTAGAACGGAAGGAAAGTTCACCTCTTTGCAGCAGTGTGGAGGGACCTGGAGATCATCATGCTGAACGAAATACGCCAGTCAGAGAAAGACACATACCATGTGACCTCACTTATATGTGGAATCTAATCAACAACAGAGTTTAACAAACAGAAGAGAAACAGAAGCCTAGACACAGAGAACAGACTGACGGCTGTCGGGGAAGGGTGGGGCGCTGGGTGAAAAACTGTGAAACCATTAGGCAAAAACAGTGTCTCCGTGGCACACAGACACAGAACAGGATGGTCTGGCCAGAGGGGAGGGTGTGGCGGTGGAAGAGGGCAGAGGGGAGGCAGTGGGGGTGCAGGACACTGGACTTTGGGGGTGAGCACACACTGCCATGTGCAGATGGCTGCTGCTCAGTCGGGCACTTGGAATCTGTGTGGTGTTGATTTATGTCATCTCAGTAAGTTAAATTTAAAAAAAAAGAAACAGCCCTGGCCAGTTTGGCTCAGCAGTTAGAGCATCACCCCGCGGACCAGAGAGACCCGGGTTCGGTTCCCGCTAAGGGCACGTACCTCGGTTGCAGTTTGTCCCCAGCCCTGGTTGGGGTCATGTGGGTGGCAGCCAGTCCATGTGTCTCTCTCACGTCGATGTTTCTCTCTCTCTCTTCCCCCCTCTCTCCCTCCTGCTATGTCTGAAGATTAAATGCAAAAATGTCCTCCCGTGAGGATTAAAAAAGAAAGAAAGAAACAAGGCACACAGACATTTAGGGGAAAGGCTTCAGGGCCTTTGCTTTTTATCAAAAATGACTAGCAGGTCCTGAAGCACATGCTGTCTGGAATGTTCCGGCGCGGCCCCTTGGTGGACCTGGAGCCCACGAAGGGGGAGGGCTGGCAGGGAGCAGTTTCCTCCATGAACCGGGACTTCGGCATGCACAGTGCAGCCTAGGTAGTCACGCGACCAGATGAATCCCCTCTGTGCCCAGTTTCCAGCATCACCCCACCCCCTCTACTCTCTCTTCCATTTTGGCCCCTGATTGGGCTCTCTCCCTCTCTTTCTGCCAGCGTTGGAGTTGCCTGCTGACCTGTGTCCTCCAGCAGAGTGGGGTCCTGGCCACCATTTAATGTTCAGTATGTGCCCCCCGTGTGGCTGACACTCACATCGTAGTTAGCAGATTTGAGAGCCAGTATCAGCTGGTGAACCACAGCAGAGACAGGAGCCTGTATCGCAGCCTTTGAGACAGCAAATCACTCTGGCTGTGACGCAGAGCTCTGGGGACGTCACGCGGCCTCGGGAGGGGGAGCCGTGGCCGCAGCGACGCCCGCAGCAAGGACGAGGGGCGTCCGGTGCCGCGGCTGGAAGGCTCCCTTTCTGTCGTCTGGCGCCGGGCGCCTGCGACCCGCAGTGTTTCCCTGGCAGGTGGACTCCGGCGCGGCGGGTCCGCTACTGTGAATGTTTATTTGCATGATCTTTTTGAACACGTGATTCCCTTCTCTTTTTTTAAACAAACGGCGCAGCCTGGCAGGGTTTTCCCAGCTCGGCTGCCAGGTGGGAGAGCATGGTTTTAGCCAACGGCCCTCAGGTGGAGCATGAACCTTCCTAAGGGTCATGTGACTTACTCAGCCTCAGAGGAGCAGGACCGGTCAGTGGAAGGGTGGAGGCAGATGGAAAAGCCAAACACGTTTAAGGAATTTAAGCAGTGGGACCTAGAAAAAGGTGTCTTTGTTTATGAGTATGTTCAATGAAAGTATGGGATTTTGAGTCACATTTTAAAATATTTTTAAAATCTGCCCTGGCTGATTAGGCTCAGCGGTTAGAGCATCGGCGGACAGAGAGTTCTGGGTTCGGTTCCCACTAAGGGTGCGCACCTCAGTTGTAGTTTGTCCCCGGCCCTGATTGGGGTCTTGTGGGTGGCAACCACTCGAGGTGTCTCTCTCACATCGATGTTTCTCTCTCCCACTCTATATGAAGATAAATGCAAAAAAATAATGTCCTCGGGTGAGGATTAAAAAAAATTATTTAAAATATTTTTAAAATCTTGCTGAATGTTAAAAGCATTTTTTTCTGCAGTGTGTCCGTAAATATTTATCACGTGAGATGATGTAACTTCTGTGTGAAATATCCTTTATTTTTAGTGGGACAGTGGGGCTACCGTCCAGGCTGGCCAAGGGAGGGAGCCATCGTGGGGACCCATGTGGAACCGTTCAAAAGAAGAAGGCTTTTATTCTGAATATTGTTCTCCAACCGCACCATTAATTTTAAATGTGTTTTCAGATCCAACGTCAGTTCAGTTTAGGAATGTAAGTGATATTATTTGCTCTCTCCGATGAAGCTTTAAGCATCTGTGTCTAATAATTCAGTTAAAATCTGCTGAGCTGGGTATTTCAGAGAGTCTGTTTGAACAGGCACACAGCATCTCGACGGAAAGGGCTGGAAAAGGAGCACTTTCCAAGCCAGATGCTCGCGGAGGCCCGGGCCAGCCGCGCGGTGCAGCTCCCACCCTGCCGCCTGCATGCGCCAGCTGACACGGCCGGCGCGGTTGCCTTTCAGAGGGAAAGCTGCACGGAGAAGGTCCGTGGCCTTCCCGCGGCCGCGTGGTGGCCGGCTCTGCTTTCCGCGGGCAAGGGCTGTGATTCCTTCTTGAGCCCTGGGGGTGTCGCTGTTGCAGAACAAGAAGGGACAGCCCCGTGGAGTGTGACCCCCAGGTGTGATGAAGCTGTGTCCTGGACAGACACGCCTTCACGTCGCTGTGGAGCACGGCAGAGAGTGGGCGGCAGAGGTGTGAGTTAGAACAGGTAGGGCTCGGACAGGCGGGTGTGGTCCCAGGCCCTGAACGTATAATTAGGCGTGGTGTATTCTGCCTCCGACCCTTTCATGTTCGTCCTGTCCGCCTGCGCGCACGGCACCCCTTAATTCAGCGGCGAGTCTCTGCCTCCTGCAGTGGTCAGGCTGGTGGGCTCGGATCTGCTCGTGCCCTGCGGTGCGGGCTCTCCTTCCGAGTGGCTGCAGGGGCAGTGCCGCCGGACTGGGTGCTGGGTGGAGACCAGAACGAGAGAGGCAGGTTCCGTTTGCTAATCAGAAACAACCACACTTAACATCTAGACTAGCATCTCTCTACTCTCGGGGTCAAAAAATGGCCGAAACGAGAGTTTGGGACATTTGGTCTTCCTTGTGCTTCCCACAAGCCAGGTGACATGTCTTCAGGGGTCGCCGTACTCCGACACGTCAGGCCTCCTGCAGATCTGTGGGTGTGGAGCGGTGACATGGAACGCGTGATAGAACTCCTGCCCCTCCTTTGTATCTGTGTGTGGCCTCAAATGGCAAATGACTTGCCGCCTCGGGGACAGCGCGGCTGTGACTTGGAGACGTGAGACTCCGCGGAGGAGCGCTGTCCTCTTGCCTCCCTGCCTGGTCTCCCTGGGCAAGGACACCCTGGAAGCTCGGCGCAGACGCAGCAGCTCCAGCCAGGCCGCAAGGGCGTGACAGACGCGAGGCTGAGACGGGGCCTGTGCCGTGGGCTGGGACATGCTGTGGGAAGTTTGCTGGGAGGGCCAGATCGGGCGTGTCGCTGCGTTCCACGTGAGCAGACGGCGGCGAAAACTGTGTCTGGTGTCCTAACTTTCCACTTGCCGGTCCCGGGGAAGTTCACAGGGGAGGTGGTTGACATTGCTGATCCCTGTACGTGGACCAGGAAATAGGAATTCTGTCACAGGAAGTAACTTCGGCCCGTAAAGAAGGAGTACAGACTCCTTCGCACGGGAACATTTTTGCCTGTGATTTCTCAGATTTAGTGCCAAAAGCTCAGAGGACATTCAAAGCCGTGTCGAAGTGTTCGTGTTGAAACCTGACAGCTGCTGTATCTCTTTTTAATAACTGATTGAAGCTTTTTCTGTTACATCTCCTTGTTGCTAAACTTGTTAAGTTTAAAACAGTGTTCTCAGAGCAATGGTACCGTGAAACAAAAGCTTTGTTCTGTGGATGGATGATACTTCCTCTGTGGCGCTTCCTTCTCCCACGCGAGAGGTGAGATGCCTTCCTCGCCGTCCTGTTCCGCGGAGGACAAAACATTCTTTTCTTCGGTGGCTGACTTCCAAAATCTCTGGCTGAACGTCCGGTGTCAAGTGTGTGTTCCCTTCTCTAGGCCTTTCTACATAGAGCCCACAAACATCGTCAGTATAGATGACGTCCTTCAGAGGGTCAGCGACCACGCCTCCGCCATGAACAAGAGGATTCACTACTACAGCCGGCTCACCGCTCCTGCGGACAACGCCCTGGTAAGGACAGGCGTCGCCGTCACCTGAGGCTCCGTGGGGCGACCAGTGAGCACCGTCAGCCAGGGCAGCCCCCAGGGGTGGAACTGTTTGCTGGTCGCGTTCCAAGGATGCATCATGGAAAGTCAGACCGTACCTAGTTAGCACATGTCTTCATCCCAGGCTGGTTCTTTCCTGCGTGGCCTGCGCGTGACGGCATCTCACTGGGCTGACCACCGCCTGGGGTGTGTGGTGTTCAGGTCTGCTGACCCGAGGCTAGGAGCTCGGAGGAGGGTGCGCTGCTTTTGAAGTAGTTCAGGTCACTGATTAAAATAACTAATAACAGGTTCGGGTTAGTTTAATTTTAAGTTTGAAGCTGCAATGGAACAACGTTTGTAGAATTTTCTGCGGGAGTGGAAAACGGAAGTATATACATCTGTATGCGCAACATTTCCCTACTGATCCCTGTCCTTCCGTAGATCCAAAACCAGGGTCGGGCAGGTGCTGAACAATCTCGCCTCTGCAGGCCACAAGCTGTCACATGTCTCTTCCGTTTCATTGCAAATAAACAGTCTTCTTAGCAAAGGAGCTGTAAAAAACCCAGTTCAAGGTCCGCTTTGGCCCGGGGCTGTAGATTGTTGACTTTTAATCTTCTAAAATCTACATTATTATTTTAGGATCAAAAATACTTATTATAAGTAAGTTGGTTGCTTATCAGAACTACCACATATGAGATACTCAAAAACTTGAAAGCTAAAGAAAAATGGAGCCCTGGCCAGTTTGGCTCAGCGGTTAGAGCGTCAGCCTGTGGTCCAGAGAGACCTGGGTTTGGTTCCCGCTAAGGGCACATACCTCGGTTGCAGTTTGTCCCCGGCCCCAGTTGGGGTCGTGTGGGTGGCAGCCACTCGATGTGTCCCTTTCACGTCGATGTTTCTCTCTCTCTCTCTTCCTCTCTCTCCCTCCCGCTCTACCTGAACAAAAAATGGAAAAGTGTCCTCTGGTGAGGATGAAAAAAGAAAAGGAAAGAAAAATGGAAATGTTCTGGGAGAAAAGACAATGACTTTCTTGTAGGTAATAAAAAGGGAGGCAGGGACCAACGTTCTTTAGATTTGCTGAGGGGCCAGGTTTGGCCTGGTCACTTGAACGCGGAGATCTTGTTTTAAGCTTTACGAAGTAGTGAGGTCTTCTCTGTAGCCAAGTAGGGACTTGCAAAATATTCCTGATGGGATGATGCCTTCCCCCGATTTTTTTGCTTTTGTCCTCCCCTAGGCCTTTCTATTAGTAGTTGTGATGACGTCTTAGTTCATACCAGAACTATTTGAGCCCTGGAGGGGAGGTAGAAGTTACCCAGTACCTGCAGATCTGGCTCACAGCCTACAGTCTGCTGTGATGCAATGTCCACGCACCGGCTGGGCCCGTCTCGGCCTGATTGTGTGTAATTCGCCCGAAAACCACATCAGCACTGCACACCGAGCAGACTCCCACTGTTAACTGACAGTGAGATGACCCTGGCACATCAAGAGTGATCCAAATGCACAAGCAGTGTGATGTGACCATTAGTGAGTGTGCACACGTCTGCATCATTTTCTGAGAACCCCGAAGTTCCCAAAGGACTGTTCTCAGGGAGATGGGCAGCGTTCCATCAGGGAACTGTTTTTTCCTCCGAAGCAGGAGGCAGAATTACTAGGCCGTGTGGCGGTCCAGGGCTGTGTGTGCGACGCACGCACCTGTCCAGTCGTCTCTCGCTTACATCCGCCATCTCAGAACCCTGGCTTCGCCTTCTCCTTAAGCCAGTTCTTGGCATTCCGCCCAGCAAGGCCCTCCACCTGGCCCCCCTGACCTCGGCCTGTGCCGGCAGCCCCGCACCCTTCTCACGAAACTGGAGGGAGATCCCGGTAGCTGCACATTCTAGGAGTCCGTTCTCATCTCACATGAATAGTTCACTGTCCGTGGTCCTCCAGCCCTCCTCCTTCAGGGGTCCACTGCATTTAAAAGGGAATTTTTGCGTTTGCTAATCGGGTGGATGCTGCTGCTTGCTAGTGGCGTCTGGAAAGGCATCTGGTGTCAGGGCCCCGGAGCGCAGGAGACGCCCAGCTCTGACGCTTCCGTGTTGCTGTCACAGGTCGCCCCCGACCACGTGGTCCCGGGTCCAGAGGAGTGCTATGTGTACAGTCCGCTGGGCTCGGCCTACACACTGCAGAGCTGCTCACAGGGGCCTGGGAAGAACACCAGCCTGGTGACCATGTGAGTGAGCCTGCTGCTGGGCGCGGCCGGGACGTCGGAGCGTCACCGGGGGGCTCACGCGGCGCTGCCCCTCTCTTTCAGCTTTATGATTTGGAACACCATCATGGGAACCTCCATACTGAGCATCCCTTGGGGCATAAAGCAGGTAAGGCCATTTCTCAGCACACTTTCAGCCTGAATGTTTGCATGTTGTAATTTTCACACTAAAGCTTTTAATAAATCTACATCAATTTTTTTAAAAAAAATAGATGATTATATTTTAATTTCCCATTAAAGAGAATGGTTTTATCATAACTGTTTATCGAGTTTTTATCATGATTGTTTAGGGTAGCATAACATGGCAGCGTAAATATTTATTCTAACATGATGGTGCGTGTTCTCTATTTTCATCTTCAAACAGGCTGGATTTACTACGGGAATATGTGTCATCGTGCTGATGGGCCTTCTAACACTGTATTGCTGCTACAGAGTAGTGAAGTCACGAACTATGATATGTAAGAATTTGTCACAGTGAGAAAAGATTAGTATCAATAAGCATATACTGTTGCAGTAGATCACTAACGTGTGCATTCCACGTGTATTAACTGTTTTGTGCCGGAAGAGTTGCTTTTCGGTGTCACAGCATGGAGCTGACCTGGTAGGGGCTGTGACCTGGTAGGGGCTGTGACCTGGTAGGGGCTGACCTGGTAGGGGCTGTGACCTGGTAGGGGCTGACCTGGTAGGGGCTGTGACCTGGTAGGGGCTGACCTGGTAGGGGCTGTGACCTGGTAGGGGCTGTGACCTGGTAGGGGCTGACCTGGTAGGGGCTGTGACCTGGTAGGGGCTGTGACCTGGTAGGAGCTGACCTGGTAGGGGCTGTGACCTGGTAGGGGCTGTGACCTGGTAGGGGCTGACCTGGTAGGGGCTGTGACCTGGTAGGGGCTGTGACCTGGTAGGGGCTGCCTGAAGTTCAGAGCCCAGGAGTTCTGAGCAGAGTGGACTCACCCTACAGTTAGTGTCCTCAGAAGAATAACGTTGAAAGTCTTGTTTTTTTAAAATAAGGTCTTTGCAAGAACTAAACTGAGAAGTCTACGATTCTTGTTCAGTTAACGGTGACTTGTTCTGACCTATCCCTACCAAAAGACCTAAATGTTGGAACCTCCTAAAAGTAGAAATTCTAACTAGGAACATATGAAAATATGAGCAATGTGTCCTTTAGAGCAAATTCTAGAAATTGTCCCGACACATTTCCTCCACTCGTCTCTTTATAAATTCTGAGTCAGGGAAATACCTTCCCAGATAGTTTCAAAGTAATTTACGACCTAAGTAGACGTACATCATTTCATAAATCCAGCAGCTAGGAGTCGGCACCAGGCCTTACCCAGCTGCTCGCCGTCCCCACGATGCATCTTCTCCGAGTTGTGCTCGGAGTCCTCTCCCTTTCCCACAAGTCCCTCGGCTATTACAGGTCTGCCATGTTCTGTCTACCGTGTGCCCAGTAGCCCTTTAGCTATTATTTCTTGTCAGTTTTCCCCCATTCAGTATTTGAGAGCTTGTTTGGAGGTTCTAGCAGGGAGCGCAGCTACTCGTGTACCCTTGACCGAAGACCGGTCCTCTCCTCTGGGGGGAGGTCGTCCTCTTCGACCAAGCGCGCAGCTTCGGGAGGGACGGACATGGATCGGTTGCGGGAGGAGGGGGACACCCGCCTAGCCAGCCAGATCAGCCAAATCAACCCCGGCGATCAGTGGGGTGACAGATGTCGCAGCCAGATCGCCCTCACATCCCCCATTCAGTATTTGAATGCCTTTTGCATGATATCCGTTTGTTTATATGGGCCTATCTTTTCCACTGTAATTCAGTTGGTGGAAAAAGAATAAACTTTCATGTTCTGTTTTTACTCTGTCTTCTAACTTTTCTGTAATTTAATTTTTAAATTCTTTTTTTTTTAATCCTCACCTGAGGATATTTTTCTATTTTTTGTACAGATACAGTGGGAAGGAGAGAGAGGAAGGGAGAGAGAGAGAGAGAAACATCGATGTGAAGGGACACATCGAGTGGCTGCCACCCGCACGACCAACCAGGGCCGGGGACAAACTGCAACCAAAGTACGTGCCCTTAGCAGGAACCGAACCCGGGTCTCTCCGGACCGCTGGCCGACGCTCTAACCGCTTAGCCAAACCGGCCAGGGCTAATTTTTAAATTCTTGACTCAGTTGTCTGAAAATTAAATTGGCATGTGTGGTATAAAGTGTGACCCAAGAAAACTTTACTCTGCATTATTATTTAAGTATGCCAAATAGTGTTGGGAGATGCCTTCTGTCCCTGTAGTGAGGATTTGGTCTAGTATTGGTTTATCTCTTGCTTTTATTACAAAATTTTATTATGCTATTGTCTGTTTCTCAGATTATCTGTACTCTTTCATTGACCTATATTTCTTTTTATGTATGTGTTCTATAATGTTTTTATTTCTGCTCTTATGGTCTAGTGTCTGGTGGTGTAATGCCCGTAATCTCTTACTAACTGTCTTCAGTGGGTCTGGGGAAACAGGTTATGAGCACGGACTGTATAAGCAGCATCTGGCCTCACGCTTTTCCTTCCCTTGCACGCAGCTTCCGTGGACACCACGACCTGGGAGTACCCCGACGTCTGCCGACACTACTTCGGCTCCTTCGGGCAGTGGTCCAGCCTCCTGTTCTCCTTGGTGTCTCTCGTGGGAGCAATGATAGTTTACTGGGTGCTCATGTCCAATTTTCTTTTTAACACTGGAAAGTTTATTTTCAGTAAGTATCCACCCCGCGCGCTTCCACACAGATGCGCTCGGGTGCCGCCGTGCCTGGCATTTCGGGCTCGGCCTTGAATTCGGGACAAAGTGCAGAGCACTGTTTGCAGTTCTGGGAAATAGAGTGGATTCCGTTTGATTTCTGCGGTTATGAGCTCAGATAAAATGTGTATGTTCACTTCCAAAAACTAATTTTTTATCGACTTTAGAAAGAGAGGAAGAGCGAGGGAGGGAGAGAGAGAAACACGCATCAGCTGGTGGCCCCTGCGTGCGCCCCGCCCGGAGTCACACCGCAGCCTTGGGGTAAGGACGATGCTCCAACCAGCGAGCCGCACGGGCCAGGGCTTCAGAACTGATGCTTGAATGAATAGTATTCCTTTAAATCTTAATTAATACACAATATTTCTAAGTTCCAGCAGCTATTTTAAGCATTGTTTTGATCTTTACCACAAAATTTTAGTATAACAGTTTATGAAGTTCAATGGTACCTGTTACTAAAGAAGTTGATGGGAATAAGTTTTGGTCACTGATTTTCAGAATATTGGGATCTAATTTAGGAAACAGTTGAGTAACGGGACTGATGTGCAAGTACATTGTTTATGCTGACAGACTCTGTTGTGGGTACTTTTGTGCCCTGCAGTAATTTAAAGATGTTCCTGCCTGCTGTTTTCTTGAGCATTTTTATTAATGTGTGCTGGATTTCATCAGATACTTAATCCACATTCTTAAAATGATCAGAAGCTTTTCCCCTTCAAGTTGGTAACATAACAAATTAAATGAATACATTTTGTAATATTTAAATCATTTTTATGTTCTGGGAAAACTTAAATTAGTGTATTAGTCATGATACGTATTTCTTAAATTTCTGACTGGACTGAGTTTACTTCTGGGAGGAGCGAGGCTGACTTTGGGACTTTACATCTTTCCTGAGGGATGCCGGCTGCGGATCTGCGCCCTCACACTCTGCTGGGTGAGCTGGTGCACTAGGGCTCCCGTCGGCTCAAGCAGGAGAGACCTGCTCTCTCCCAGCCCTGGGGACCGGAAGTGCAGAGGCACCGTGGCGGGGCTCTGCTCCCCCTGAGCTGGTAGGGAGGAGCCTTCCTGCCTCTTCCTGGCCCTGGTGACTGGCTTTCACCAGGCGTCCATGGCTTTCCGTGGCTTGTCGCCGCATCTCTCCAGCTTCCGCTGTCTCCGTGTGACCGTCTTCCCTGGCTGTGTCTGTGTGAACCCCCCTCTTCCTGCTGAGGACTCCAGTGTGGAGCTTGGCCCCCCCGCCCCCACTGTGACCTCAGCTCTCCTCAGCTGTATCTGCAAAGACTACGTCCTCACAGGGTCCCAGTCACGGTTCCCGGTGGACGGGGGTTTGGGGAGACAGTCTTGAACCCGGTGGACTTGGCATCAAGATTTGACTGTCTAGTCGCCGGTGTGAGTCCCGGCCTCAGGAATAGATAAAGACGCATCACTTCTGATCTCAGTCACGAGTAACCCTCGGAGATGCCGCAGAAGCCCGGTGTCCTTCTAGCTTCACGAGCCTACGACGGTGAACCAGTCCCCTCTGACTTGCTTTATGACCTTACGATCTAATCCGTTTTTACCATCTCTTTAAGTTTTAATCAAACTTTTATTAGTGCTTGCTAAGGTCATAAAAGGCTCACATCGAACAGAACAAAGTGCGTTCTCGGAGGCCCGCAGGGCAGCACAGCCTGTGCCCTCCCCGCGGCTCCCTGTGGAAGGGTGAGGGCCCAGGTGTCCGCCTGGGCCCCTCCTGGCTGCTCCCGGGGGGTCCCCGGGGGGCTCTGAGCGGGGACCACTGTGTGGCCTTTCATCTGGAAAAGCACGGACTACGCTTTGTGAAAACTTTGAACGATTTTCCAGATAAACTGAGCCCTTGTACTGACCAGGTTTTCCCCTCCGCAGACTTCAGACCTTTCTCTGAGTCAGTGAGAGTATGGGGAAGAACTGCACACAGTATCTTTACTGCAGGCTTTGAAGTCAGTTCACTCTGTGGGTAGATTTTTTAAAAATCCTCACTCGTGGCCCTGTCTGGTTTGGCTCAGTGGTTAGAACGTTGGCCCACAAACCAAAGAGTCACGAGTTCGATTCCAGTCAAGGGCACGCACCTCGGTTGCAGTTTGTCCCAGCCCTGGTCGGGTTGTGTGGGAGGCAACCAGTCAGTGTGTCTCTCATATCAGTGTTTTTCTCTCTCTCTCTCTTGTCCCCCTCCCTCCCACTCTCTCTGATGATAAATAGGAAAAATATTCTATTTTTAAATGAGGATTTAAAAAAAAATCCTGAGTCTTTTAAAAATGTCCTCAGTGGGACTGTGACACCAGTGACCTCACTCCTGTGAGTGAGGACGCCCCAGACAGGCTACGTGGGCAGGGTGGTCCGGTGCAGGGGGTCAGCTGATATTGCCACCGGGCGGATCTTAAGGGTGGTTGCAGATGAGACTTCAGCGGGCATCAGCTCGGCGTCTCATTCGGTGCTGAGCTGCGTGTTTCCTTGATTTTCAGATTTCGTCCATCACGTCAATGACACAGATGCCGCACTGAGCACCAATGACAGCAACCCCGGTGAGTCGTTTGGAGCTTGCCTTTGAGCGTGTGTGTTGGTTCCCCGTCTTGCTTCTGAAAAGACTCAAGGTGGAACCTGGGACTGTTCAGGGAAATGATTGGCTCAAAGCCATCGTCACCGTGTCACCTGGGCCACGGTTACATCAAAAACCCACAGCTGCACATTGGTGGTGTTCACGTGAGCTCAGCAGTAGTTCGTAGCACAGCTCACAGGAGCGGCTCGTGTCTGCAGCGTCCACACTTACCCACGAGTGGTCAGTGCATAGTTCCAAGGACCTGTGTCGCTGCTGCTGCTTTTGGCTTAGAAGCGTTCTTCTCGGTCCGTTAACTCAGTTTTAGACATTGATTGTTTCAGGTATTAATGTTTAAGATATACAAATCTGTAGCCTTTAGGATAGTTTATTTCCTAATGATGAATAGAAAGAAGTTAATAACTATGGAAAATTAAATTGAAGATTTGGCACACAAAAATCTTTATTTCCTAGAAAAGTCTCTCTAATTCATTATTAGAAACAATCCTTTGTGGCCTGTGGGTTTGTCCAGTGTGGCAGTCACAGGGAAAGCAGGAATGAAAGCTGATGTCGCCTTGTTAACAGTTACTGTAACCATGTGTAACCCCAAAGCACTCACGTGTTACCTGTCAGAGACACTAAATTCATACCATTTTCAGGGAGATACACTCGTCGCTAAGAGAACAATCCATTCAGTGCATATTTACTAAGCCTGTTACATGACAGGAACTGGTCTAGACTCCAGGGTAAAACGAACAGATAAAAGTCTCTCCAGTGTCTTACTTCACCCCTTCACTACACTGCTAACACTGCTAACACTACAGAATGAATGAGTGAAGCCCGGCCGGTGTGGCTCAGCGGTTGAGCGTCGACCCACATGCACCAAGAGGTCACCGGTTCGATTCCCGGTCAGGGCACATGCCCAGTTTGTGGCCCGATCCCCAGTGGGGGGCATGCAGGAGGTGGCCAGTCGATGTTCTCTCTCATCCATGTTTCTATCTCCCTCCCTCTCCCTTCCTCTCTCTCTAAAATCAATAAAGAAAAAGAAAAATTTTTAAACAAAATGAATGAGTGAAGTGTTAGCTTTTCTGTGGACACACACAATCACACACACACACACACCCCTTTGAATCATTATGCTAAAACATTTTAGTATAATTTTAAAATAAACTTTTTGCATTCTATCCCTTATGTCAGAATTTTCAAAGGATTCTCAAAAGAGAAATTCACTTGACTAGCTGCTCTGCTCTCAGGTGCTGGAACGAGTAGGGTTTTCAGTAGGGCGTCAGTTCCTGGTCGAGCGGATGTCCCCGTCAGCCCCGGAGCTGGAGCTCACCACCCAGTCAGTCTGCTTTGCAGTGACCCCTTGGGTGGATCCAGCTCTCGACTCCTCCATGTACTGTGATCAGTGTGTTAGGTCGTGAGTCTGGAAACAGCCCATCTCAGTTCACGTAGAAACTCCCAGCTGGCGTCTGCGGGGTGCTCGCTGTGTGCGGCCGTCGTCCAAACATTTCACAGCACCTCTAGAAGTAGATGCTGCTGCCTTCGCTCTGGGGTGGGGACTGAAGCCGAGGGAAGCCCGTGGCTTGCGGGAGCCAGTGAGTGTCGCACCCCTCACAGCCACTCATCGGTGCCCTCCAGGCCTGTGCTCCAAGCACTGACTGTTCGCAAAGACAAAGTCCAGCGAAGCTACTTCTGTCCAGAGCAAAGAAGAAAACACGTCACAGCACCAACTAGGAAAGGAGGTGGAGATGGCGTGTTTGTCCGTGTGGCATGTCACATGCTGGAGACGGCACAGGTCTCGGAGTGAGCATGTCACCTGGCTGGTGAGGAGCGGGATGTCCTCAGTGTGAGCGAGTCTCTCGCCAGCGCGCAGGGTTCTCTGCAGAGAGTCGAGGGTCAGCTCACGTACTGCGGGTCTTACGATGCAGAGAGCCGAGGGTCAGCTCACGTACTGCGGGTCTTACGATGCAGAGAGCCGAGGGTCAGCTCACGTACTGCGGGTCTTACGATGCAGAGAGCCGAGGGTCAGCTCACGTACTGCGGGTCTTACGATGCAGAGAGCCGAGGGTCAGCTCACGTACTGCGGGTCTTACGAAGCAGAGAGCCGAGGGTCAGCTCACGTACTGCGGTCTTACGATGCAGAGAGCCGAGGGTTAGCTCACGTACTGCGGGTCTTACGATGCAGAGAGCCGAGGGTTAGCACACGTACTGCGGGTCTTACGAAGCAGAGAGCCGAGGGTTAGCTCACGTACTGCGGGTCTTACGAAGCAGAGAGCCGAGGGTTATTTAGCACACGTACTGCGGGTCTTACGATGCAGAGAGCAGAGGGTTAGCTCACATACTGCGGGTCTTACGATGCAGAGAGCCGAGGGTTAGCTCACGTACTGCGGGTCTTACGATGCAGAGAGCAGAGGGTTAGCTCACGTACTGCGGGGTCTTATGAAGCAGAGAGCCGAGGGTTATATAGCTCAGGTACTGCGGGGTCTTACGCAGCAGCCGAGGGTTAGCACACGTACTGCGGGTCTTACGAAGCAGAGAGCAGAGGGTTAGCACACGTACTGCGGGTCTTACGATGCAGAGAGCAGAGGGTTAGCTCACGTACTGCGGGTCTTACGATGCAGAGAGCCGAGGGTTAGCTCACGTACTGCGGGTCTTACGAAGCAGAGAGCCGAGGGTCAGCGCACGTACTCGGGTCTTACTAAGCAGAGAGCCGAGGGTTAGCTCACGTACTGTGGGTCTTACGAAGCAGAGAGCCGAGGGTCAGCGCACGTACTCGGGTCTTACGATGCAGAGAGCCGAGGGTTAGCTCACGTACTGCAGGTCTTACGAAGCAGAGAGCAGAGGGTTAGCTCACGTACTGCGGGTCTTACGATGCAGAGAGCCAAGGGTTAGCTCACGTACTGCGGGTCTTACGAAGCAGAGAGCAGAGGGTTAGCTCACGTACTGTGGGGTCTTACGAAATTGGACCATGAGAAGGAATGACTCGTGTTCTACTTGCTGACAGAAGAAAGTGCCACTTGAAGCCGGTGTAGGGAAAGCAAATGTTGCTTCCCGGTGCTCGGGATAACATCTGGGCTCCGCAGCTGCCGTGAAGCATGATGAGCTTCCAGAATTACTGTGGATTGCTGGAGTTCAAGGTCCTTGCGCCATAGCCAGTACTTAGGCTTTGGCAATACCGTGACAGCTGTTTCAGAGAGGTTTTGTCCTTTGCCCTTGGTGTGGATTACCATCACAACAGACGGCTGCCCTGAGGACGTCTGTGTTGTCATATACATACGACCAGATGCCGTCCAGCCCAACACTTCCGCTCTGGCCATGGAACCAAAGGGTTTTTGTTGGGATCGTTTTATAGTTTCCAGTAGAAATTAAGGATATACCTCAAGATCTTCTAGCATTCTTCCCCCTTTAGTGTTTTCTAGGTAAGATGTTTCTAACAGACACACGTTTCTACCCTACACAAGGAGAAGCCTCGGTCTCCTCCAGGGGAAGCTGTGTGCTCGGGAAAGTCCGCGGCTGTGTGTGGGTGGTCGCTCTGCTCCCTGCGCTGCGCCCTGACCCGATGTTTCCCTCGCAGTGACCTGTCCCAGTGCAGGGAGCGGCCATCCTGACAACGGCTCCGCGACCTACGGCAGCGGCCCAGACCTGCAGCAGTTTGAGAAGTGGTGGGACAAGTCCAGGACCGTGCCCTTCTACCTCATAGGGCTCCTCCTGCCGCTGCTCAGTTTCAAGTCGCCGTCCTTCTTTTCCAAGTTCAACATCCTCGGTGAGCTGGGCGCCGGGACGGCCTCGTGCCCCGGAGCGGGGCAGCCCCGGGGAGGGCTGCCTCCCGGCCTGCTCCTCGGTGCCTGGCTGGTCTTGGTGGAGTTTGGCCCAGAGGGAAACGTCGATGACCACTGGAGCCCAGGCTCCTGCAGAGACAGTCAGTGGGTTCCCACTGGGCCGTCGCTGGGCGAGCACCCCCTCGTTCCCTCAGAGTGTGGGTCCCAGGAGGAAGTAGACACGCCTTCCGGGCAGAGACCCAGGTCCATGTTAGAGGGAGTCTCAGGTCCTAAGGTTAGAACCCACAAGGGAGGGTAGGGCATTGTGTTTCCTATTCAAGAGCAGAGCGCAGAACTGTCGCCTGACTTTGACCCAGGGCGTCCTCTGGCTCTGTCCTCAGGCTGCTCTGCCCGAGCTTGTCCTCGGTGCACCTACTGGGAACACTTCTGCCTCCTCAGAGGAACAGGCTTCCCTCTGGGGCCTCTCCCAAGTCTCTGAGACCACGGAGGCGATGCTTGGACCGTGTCTTCCTCTACAGCCTGGAGAGACCAGAGCAGTCCCCAGGGGAGCTCAGAGCTGGGTAACTAAAGACAGGGGTGCCGTTCGTGCAGAACTGATCACCCAGGTAGAGCACAGGGCTCCGCCTGCAGTTCTGACCTCCTGGTGGGCAGCCTGGCGGGTAAGATCATTCAGTTCACAGTCACTGAGGAGAAGGCGTCTGGGCTTCCAGCAAACAGGAGGGTGAGCTAAGTCATCCTTCCTCCCGCCTCACAGCGGGTGCACTGCCCAGACACACAGAAGATGGACAGTTGGGTCCTAAAAGCTTCGGCCTCTTGTGTTCATCCTTTCTGATCAGCTTGTCTCCAGCCCACAGTGGAGCGCACGTAGCCCATCTGGTTTCCTGAGCCGCTTGCCGACTTTCCTGTGGAGCAAGTCTTGGAAAGTTAGCTTACAAACCAAGGGAAGGGTTTGCTCATTCGGGCAAAGCAATCACCAGACGTCCAACCAGGTTGATTATTTTTCACCCCCTTAAGGACACTGTACTGTTACCCCTCTTCTTGCTACTTCTCTTTTGGATCTGTAGCTTCTTCAGAGAAATTAGCATCTAATTCCTCCAGAAACCTTTCCCAACTCCACTCTGTCATGACTAGACTTAATCCCTTAACAGAAATAACCCTCCGACTCCCAGACTGAAACATTCCAAATGCCTCCTGCCCGTGTCTGACACCTGGGAATGGAATTGGAGTCTTTCCACCTACAGGTGTGCTACCCCAGCACACCTCACCTGACCCCAGAGCAGACTGCGGGAAGTGCGGCTCATCGCCTCTCTGACGGGGGACGGCCCACGCTCACTGCTCTGCCTTCGTCACTACACCCCGGAGGCTGTGGCCGCACTTAGACTTCAGCCTGTGACCGTCCCTAGTGCGGCCAGCAGAGAACGAGTCAGCCTCCTGTTGTCTTTTTTCTCCTGTGCAACATGACAGTTCTGCCGCGGGCTCCATGTGTGTCCTCGGCTAAACCCAACGCATAAGCAAACTGGGCAGTTCAGCGAGACGTGGGCTGCCTCACCTGCTCTCCTGGGCCTTCGGCACCGTCTTCCGCTTGTTTTCTGATGACTCGCAGAGCTGGCTCCTGTCCTCTAGGTCCCCCTGGGCTGTAGTGGGCGGAAGCAGGGACAGGAGCAATGTCCGGCCCTCGCTGAGAATGCAGGAGCACGGCTGGGTTTTGAGCAGGTCTGCAGTGGAGAGATGAGCGTTTCTGAATGTCTCCCTCACAGGCACAGTGTCCATCGTCTTCTTGACCTTCCTCGTCACCGTGAAGGCTGTTCACTTGGGATTTCATTTGGAATTTCATTGGCTTACACCCACAGAGTTTTTTGTACCAGGTGAGCTATTTTAAAATAAAGAATTAATAAATGACAATAATGTGATCTTTAACTTAACTGCTTTGGACTGTTGCTGTTGATGCTCTGAAGCTGAAAACAAGAGTCTAGTTGAGCCCTGACCAGGTGGCTCAGTGGGTGGGGCATCATCGCCTACCAAAAGGTTGCAGGTTCAATTCCTGGTCAGGGCATATACCTGGGTTGCGGGTTCGATCCCCAGTCGGGAAGGCAACTAATTGATATTTCTCACATTGATGTTTCTCTCCCTCCCCTTGCTCTAAAATCAGTAAGCATGTCCTCAGGTGAAGGTTTAGAAAAGAGTCCCGTTGGAATCACTCTGCTTTTCTTACAGGTAGGGAGTCACCTGGGCCCTTTGTCATCTCTGCCTGGGAGTGAAGTCCAATCAAGTTACAGTGCAGACAGAGAATCAAGACCACACTGTCTAGACTTCTGAGAAAACATACCCTAGAATTTTAGAAACGTAAAACGTGGTCTATGATTAACATGTGGATAATACTGCTCACAACACAACTGCTCCCCTTACGGGGTTTTATATCAGTTTGCAGGCCAATGGCGGAGAGCCAGTGTCCCCCCCCCTTTCCCTCATGGTTTTACTAGGCGACTTCTTACGTGTCACCCAAATCTACAGGATGTGGACATGGTGAAAGCACCGTGAGGCCGTGCGTGGACAGTGCTCAGTGAGCAGATAGGTGAGAAAACGAAGTGGCTGTCACACCCATGGCAAGTGAGGACACAGCCGTGAGGGTCTGCTGGTCAGCAGCTGCTGCCCTCCCCTTCTTCCGGTGCTGACCCAGGCCCCCGAGTTTCGGTCCCCCGCTCAGGGTCTGCTGTGCCCCCCAAGGCTGCACTGCAGGTCGTTTGCCACCCTTTGATCCTGCTGTGACCACGTCCTTGGGTGTTCATGTGGGCTGAGTTGGTCAGTGGAAGTTGTTTATGTAACCATGGTTACTGGTTTTCATGTGGTTGCATTAGCTTTGATTTTTTTATTTCTCGTAGAAGCCTTGTGAAGACTAAAGACTGTAAATTCTGGGTAAAGGAAGTGCTGGGGTTTGGAAGGTATCTCCCTCCTGAATGCATGGAAAACTGGGCACTGGTAAAAGGACCACTGTGAGCTAGTGATCGGTAGAAATGGTCCTCCAGCGATCGGTAGAAATGGTCCTCCAGCGATCGGTAGAAATGGTAGAAATGGTCCTCCAGCGATCGGTAGAAATGGTCCTCCAGCGTTCGGTAGAAATGGTCTTCCAGTGATGGATAGAAATGGTCCTCCAGCGATGGGTAGAAATGGTCCTCCAGCGATCGGTAGAAATGGTCTTCCAGCGATGGATAGAAATGGTCCTCCAGCGATCGGTAGAAATGGTCTTCCAGCGATGGATAGAAATGGTCCTCCAGCGATCGGTAGAAATGGTCCTCCAGCGATGGATAGAAATGGTCCTCCAGCGATGGGTAGAAATGGTCCTCCAGCGATCGGTAGAAATGGTCTTCCAGCGATCGGTAGAAATGGTCCTCCAGCGATGGATAGAAATGGTCCTCCAGCGATGGGTAGAAATGGTCCTCCAGCAATCGGTAGAAATGGTCCTCCAGCGATGGATAGAAATGGTCCTCCAGCGATCGGTAGAAATGGTCCTCTAGCGATGGGTAGAAATGGTCCTCCAGCGATGGATAGAAATGGTCCTCCAGCGATGGGTAGAAATGGTCCTCCAGCGATGGGTAGAAATGGTCCTCCGGCAGTCAGTAGAAATGGTCCTCCAGAGATCAGTAGAAATGATCTTCCAGTGGTCGGTAGAAATGGTCCTCCAGAGATCAGTAGAAATGGTAGAAATGGTCCTCCAGCGATGGGTAGAAATGGTCCTCCAGCGATGGGTAGAAATGGTCCTCCGGCGGTCAGTAGAAATGGTCCTCCAGCGATTGGTGGAAATGGTCTTCTAACAGCCTTTAGTGGTTTCCCGTCTCGCTCAGAATAAAGACGTCTGTTGTAGCTGACAGGCCCTGTGTGATCTGACTCCTGGCTTCCTCTCTGATCGCACCTCCTGCCACTTTCCTGCTTGTCCAGCCCAGACCAGCATGGTCCTCCTGGCCGTTCTGCACGAAAGCCGAGCATCCTCCTAGCTCAGCATCTTGCACTTCCTGGTCCCTGTACACTAAATGGCTGTCCCTTCTCAATGCCACTCGGTTATGTCGTTGGAGACAGCCTTCCTGTTTCTGCTCACCCCACCGCCACCTCCTTTTTCTTCCTTCTTCGGAGCTCTCGTCGCTACCGGAGATTATGTGCAAGTGTCCCTGGACACCTGGGACGATTCAGTTCCTGGTTCTGAGAGTGAGCTGAACGGTGAGGGACAGCTACTGTTCTCGTCGACTTGGTTCCTGAGTTTCCGGTCGAAAGTGGCAGAAGTCAGGATAACAAGGACCGATCCACAAATGTTCCCAAGTCTCTCTCGGTCTTGGATTCGGGTAGTGACAGTTCAGGCGGGGCGGGGTGATGGAAGGCGTTTAGTTTTCACCTGTGCGCCGGTCCCCCTAGCTAGGACGTTAGCTCCCTGGGCAAAGGGTGTTGTTTCCGTTCTTTATGCTTCCGTCACTCTTGCATCCCCTGTTGCTGTTGCTGTTGCCCTTGCATCCCCAGGGCCAGAGTGTACGGTGAACATTTAGCCAATAATCGTGGAAGGAACAGATGCTTTTATCTCTACTTTCTCCTAAATTCCATTAAAACAACAGCAAAGAGAAAAATAAAAACACTAACCCAAAGAGACTGGAGAAGAGATGAGGGCCGACGGGAGATGGCGCAGGATTTTAGAAGCTGCGAACTGGCATTGTTTGGCAGCTGACCGCAGAGCAATCCCTGTAGACAGGGGTTTGAACACGAAGGAGGCCATGTGAGCCGTCCAGTCCTTAAAGTCTCAGCAGCTGGGGTGCGGGGTTGCTCCGAAAGCCAGGGAGGAGAAGGAGCGGTGCGAACAGCCGAGCAGGAGGCAGAAGAACAGCCAGCCTCGGAGCCGGGCTGCTACAGTCTCAGCAGCTGGGGTGCGGGGGTGCTCCGAAAGCCAGGGAGGAGAAGGAGCGGTGCGAACAGCCGAGCAGGAGGCAGAAGAACAGCCAGCCTCGGAGCCGGGCTGCCGAGCGAGCGCAGCGCAGGGTGGGAAGGAGGCTCTCGTCCGGGACCCAGTGCGGGCGCGGGCGCCGGCGCCGTGTGGGTGGTGGTGCGGCCCGTCTGGAGCCTCGTGCTCAGAAATCAGCGGGCTGGTCCAAAGTGAAAGGAAAAGAAATAGGCATTTTTGTTGAGAATAAGAGCATACATTTAAAATATGCCAAATAGTTAGAAGTAGTTACCTCTGAGAAACAGGGTTCAGGAGGGTTACGGAACGAGCCGAGCCTGGTTTCTATTAGAAGCCTTGCAGCGCGTTTGACTTGCAACAATGTGCACGTTCGAGACGGCAACTAAGGCGGTGCTTTCACAGTGGAAGACGCGGGCGCTTGGAGACACTGGAGAGAGCCTCAGGCGCCGGTTTTCACAAACTGGGGCCATTTGCCACGTGACAGCAGCACCGTGTTCCTCTGCAACCAGGAAAAAGTGTTTTCTAATGTCGGTGGAAGAAACGTCCAAATCTGTAAGAATTTTTTAGTTTATTTGAGCCAAACTGATGACAGTTGCTAAGAAGCAAATCTGGACGGATTGAGAAACTGCTCTGGAGGATGGCGGCTCTGTAGCTCAGTGTGTACATTGCAGTCAAGGGGGGGCGCAAGGGGCACTCAGAATCCAGGGGTGGGAGGTCAGGGAGGCGGAGAAAGTGAAGCGGCGACATCGCTGAGATTGGATAAAAGTAAAACGAAGAGGAAAGCTTTTCCGTAGGTGGGCACGGGACACAGCAGGCGCAGATGGTGTGTGAGCAGCGGGGGCACAGTGAGGGTTCCGCGGTCTCTGCTGCGGTGGGAGGCTGTGCCTGAGGGGCCTGGGAAAGGGACTGCCTGACCCTCCGAAGGCATGTTGTCCTAGGTGCACAAAGGCTATGGACGGGCTCAGTTACCGTCGAGATCGACCCTTGTCAGGGAAGAAACCGGCCTAGGACATCACCACCCGCCATGAACTGCTTTTAGTTAGGAAGTTTGAATTTCAGACCATCACCTTAGGTCTCTGAATTGGCAAGGCCTCCCCTGAGCCCGTCAGGCTCAGTATGTGGCCCCTTTTGACCTACACGAATCATATGTGTTTCCAGTGGTTTTATTACTCATTGTCCATTAGGAGTGGACTCCGTCTTACCACTCACTCCTTGGCACTTACTAATGCCTGCGAGTGTAATAGAATTTCTCCTTATTTTTATGGGTATGGCTTACCTCTCTTGTTTTTGAACTCTTTTTCGGAGTCTAACACATATATACAAAAGTGCACGACTCCTAAGTGTACAGCTTGATCTATGTTCCCAAATGGAACACCCACAATGCCCAGCACCCAGAGCATAAACAGAAATTACTGGCCCCCCAGGAGGCACCCTCGTTCCTCCTAACTGGTTGTCTCCCTGCCAGAAGACCACCTCTGACTTCCAGCCCAGAGGGTAGCGGGCCCAGTTTAGCTTTGTGTAAAGGGAACGTGCGCTTCGTCAACTTGGTGTCGGGGTCCCTCCGGCAGCGTTGGCCGTGGTGTTGATCATGCTGCCGTGTGCGTTGGTGGTTTGTTCCTCCTGTTGGCATTTCCGTGTGTGACTCTGCCACGGTGTTTCCCTCTCCCAGGGCAGGGACGCGGGAGCCACCTCCAGTGTGTGACGAGCGCGGTCATTGCCACGTCTTCATCCTGGTCGGTGTCTTTGTGGGGGTGGCGGCTGTCTCCCCCGTGTCAACCGGGAGTGGGTCTGAGGGGTCAGAGGGCATGCATAGGTTCTGCTTCAGGGACCTCGCCAGACATTCCAGGGCAGCTGTCCCAGCTCCGCTCCGCCAGCAGCGTCCACACTTCCTGTCTCCCTCCTCCACCCTCCTGCTGCTACGAGTGTGTTGCCCTCGGACTCGGGTGGCCTGGTGGCCGAGGAAGCCAGCACCCTTTCTCTGTCCATCGGCAGTTTGGATTACCGCCTTGGTCAAGTGCCTCTTCAGGTGTTTTGCCCAATTTTCTATTTCTCAAATGGGTTTATAAGCACTCTTTGTACATTCTACATACACATCTGTTGTCAGATTAAAGTATTTCAAGTATCCCACACACACACACACCCTGCTTGCTTTCTTTTTTTTTTTTTTTATCCTCACCTGAGAACATTTTTTGATATTTTGCTCAGATAGAGTGAGAGGGAGAGAGAGAAACATCGACGTGAAAGCTACACATCGAGTGGCTGCCACCCACATGACCCAACCAGGGCCGGGGACAAACTGCAACTGAGGTACATGCCCTTAGCGGGAACCGAACCCGGGTCTCTCTGGACCGCAGGCCGACACTCTAACCGCTGAGCCAAACCGGCCAGGGCCTGCTTGCTTTCTTAATATGCCTTCTCCAAGGGATAAAGCAGCAGCTTGGAAACGTCGGAAGTTTGGGGCTCCTTTAAGACCACCTCGCCCAGGAGTCTGTCCTGTGAGTCACCGGGCGGTGTGGTGGCCCCACTGGAGTCTCCATCCCTTCACTTCATCTGTGTGTGTTCTTAAAGCTGCAGTAAGTCCCTTGCAGGCAGCATCCAACTGGGTCTTGTTTTTCATCCGTTCAGCCAGTCTGTCTTTTGTTTGGAGAATTTAGTCTATTTACATTTCAACTAATTATTGATAGGTATGGACTTACTATTGCCATTTTGTTCATTGATTTCTGGGTGTCTTGGAATTTCTTCCTTTGTGATTTGATGACTTTGAATTCCTACTGAAGAGTTTTTCCATTGTTTCTCTAAAAAGAATAGCTACAGAAATGTCAAATGTAAATAATAATTTTACCCTCTTCCCAAAATCAGTGCCTCTGTTATAATTACATAAGTATAATGCTGCCGTGGAGATGATGTCATCCTTACTACTCTCATTTCAAGGTAACTTTGTGTTTATTGCAAAAAATTTAGAAAACATAGGTAAGTGGTTAATTTGAATTAGACCCCATTAGCCAGACATAACCACTAGTTATACTTTGAAATATCCCTCCAGTCTTTTTCTTTGCATACACACACACATTTTTAAATAAAAGTATACTGTACATGCTGTTTGAATCATGAGCATTTGTCACAACATGAAATGCATATCACTGAGCAACTCATCATGGTTTAGCTGTTCCCCTGTATGTAGACATTTAAGTTATTTCCATTATTTTTAAGCATTGCTTTTTAGATTACCCATTAAAAAATATTAAATGATCCTGGCCAGTGTTACTCAGTGGATTGAGCATCGTCCCATGGACTAAGAGGTCCTGGTTCAATTCCCAGTCAGGGCACATGCCTGGGTTGGGGCTCAGTCCCCAGTAGGGGGCGTGTATCTCTCTCACATCAATGTTTCTATCTCTCCCTTCCTCTCTCTCTAAAAAAAAATCAATAAAAACATATTTAAAAACAAAAAAATGTTAAATGACCAATTCTCTCTTCCATGATTCCTTTTCTAAAAGTATATTTTCTGGCAAATTAAAGTATTAGGGATGGAGGAAGCTGAGAGTCACACAGGCACTGGACCTGCTCTGCCACGTGCGGGCAGGTGACCACAGGCAGGGACGCCCGGTGTGACGTCGGATTCCTTTCCTTTCCCGGGTAGGTCCTTTCCTCGGGCAGAATGTTAACCTGGAGGAACTTTGTGAAGATGTTTTAATCATTTTCTTCCCTGAATAGACTGAGGCAACTGGTTTTCAGTGATCAACTTTTGGCAACTTGTATTCCTTTCCTTTTCTTGTCCATTTTAATGTGTTTCCCCTCTCTTTTCCTCCTAGAGATCAGATCTAAGTTCCCACAGCTGACTGGAGTGCTCACCCTTGCTTTCTTCATTCACAATTGTATCATCACACTCCTGAAGAACAACAAGAACCAAGGGAACAATGTGAGTAGTTGTCTGAGGGTCAGTTTTGGTGACTGGAGCCCGATGTTCAAATGTAAGCCACAGAGCAGGGGTCAACACACTTTTTCTGTAAAGGTTCAGATGGTAAATATTTTAGGCCTTGCGGGACATGTGCTCTTTGTTATCACCACCCAAGTCTGCCATAGACAATATGTAAACAAGGCTTGGTGGCTGTGTTTCAAGAAAACTCTAATTACCGAAACAGACCGCTGGCAGATTTCGCTCCTGCACCACAGCGTGCCAATCCGGCTTGAGCAATCACTGAAAAAATAAAGAGGCTTGGCTAACTGCCAGGGGTGGTGATAACACCTTTAAAAATACCCAAGTGATCTAAAAGACAAGAAAAGGGAAACAAAGAATAGATAGGACAAATAGAAGACACTTAGCAAAATAACAGATTAAAACCCCATAATATTAATAGTTACATTAAATAAAAATAGTCTAAATACTGCCATTAAAAGATAGGGATTGTCAGACTGATTAAAAGAATCAAACCTAACCACATGCTATCTATAAGAAACTTACTTTAGATATAAAGATGTACCATAAAGACACTAAACACAAGAAAGGTTGAGTGGCTGCTGTATATCCAGGCAGACCTCAGAACGAGGAGTGTTGCAGAGTATAGAAGAACATTGCACAGTGATCCTTAGGGACTGACTCATCAAGAAGACATAATAATCCTAAATATGTGTGCATCCAGTGACGGAGCTCCCAGATAATGAAGCAGTCGCTGTGACAACTGAAAGAAGACAGATCTTTGATTATAATTAAAGATATCAAGACCTCTCCCTTACTGACAAAACAAAGAAAAAATAAATAAGGGTATAGAAAACGTGAAAAACACTGTCAACCTACTTGATCGAATTGGCATCTATAGAAGTCTTCTCTCAAACAACAGCAGGATGGACATTTGTGTCAAATGCACATGGAACATTTACCAACATAACCACATATTGAACAAGTCTCAAAAAGTTTAAAAAGATTGAAATCATACCAAGTATTTCTTTGACCATGGTGAAGTTAGATATCAGGAATAGAAAAAAATTTGGACAATTGACAAATATGTGGAAATCAAACAACATATATTTAAATAACCAATGGATCAAAGAAGAAAAAATTAGAAAATACTTTGAGATTACTGAAAACGAATACAAAACATAGCAGAACTTACAGGATGCAGCTAAAGCAGTGCTTAGAGGGAAATGTGTAGCTATAAACACCTACATCAGAAAATAAGAAAGAGCTCAAACCAATAAGCTAATCTTTTACCTTAAGACACTGGAAAAACAACAAACTAAACCCGAAGCAAGCACAAGTTAACCAATTATTTATAACCTTGTCTGTAGACTTTTAACTCAGTGTAATAGCTTATAACCATGTAAACAAAAGTCATGATGAAGCTCTGATCGAGGTCTACAGAGTTGTCACTGAAATTCAATGGAAGGAAACACTCCCTGTGCCTCAGGATTCTGAGAAGGCTTCAAGTAATGTTCAGCAGAGTCAGGAAGAAGGCAAAAACCATTCTAAGTAGAAGGAAGTTAGCTCTCAAATGAAGGCAAGAATGCAGGCCAAGCTCTTCAATTTTCATCTTTTTTGTTAACTAGTAACATACATGTGGCATATTGCCCGTGAATGGAGTTGCATTGAGTAAAGCTGGATTTTCCAAATTTTCTAACTTGGTGACCTTCAAATTTCATTTTCTCCCTATGCGATAATAGTCTAATTTATACTGACCCCTCCGGGTTGTAATCAAAGCAGGAAAACGTGATCGGGAGCATCGTAGGGGCTGGCTGGACCGTTTGATACTGACCCCTCCGGGTTGTAATCAAAGCAGGAAAACATGATCGGGAGTATCGTAGGGGCTGGCTGGACCGTTTCGGCTTCTCTCCAACGTTCCCAGGCTGGGTCTCTGTCACCAGGAGCGAGCGTCTCCCATCTCCCCCAGATTCTTTCTGGTGCCTGTCAGCTTGTCTGCAGGGAGAACGCTCACTCCTCTGGGGTGTCTTCCTGCAGTGTTACAAGTGACATCCCCAGGAAGACACCCACTGAACCTCATGGAGTCTGCCGTCTGTCCTCTCCTGGCTGCCTGGGCTTCGGGTGACAGCCGGCGTCCCCGAGGTCCCTGGAGGCACGAGACAGCCAGGGCGGGAGCGCTGTGTGCTCCCCAAGAACTGGGGCTGGGGGAGGCCGCGGTCCAGCGCTCGCTGCCCTTTGCGCAGAGGCCGTGGGGGGAGTTCCCTGTGCTCCCATCTCGGGAGTTTTCTGCGAAGAACTCGCTGTCATTCGACGGGGTCACCTGGCCCTTCCCGCTCCTGTTTTTGCCATGGTGGTTGACAAATCACGTTCTCTCCTGGTTTGCTGCACGTTTTTAAGGCAAAATGTATTTCTAGAGTTTAATTTTTTCTCCTGCTTTAGGTTTGGTTTCTGTCCTGGAAATGCTTGGTCTCCTTGCACATATTCTTCATCTTTTGATGCAGTAGGAAGACAGTGTCACCTCTCTCAGTAAACACTGGGACTCGGGGGTATGGAGGGGGCACTGGTTCACCTCTAACCGCCCCCCCGTCTCCTTCGCAAGTTCCCTGCCATCGCACACGACTGAGCTGGCTGCCCGAGCTCTGGGAGGTCTGGAGAGGCACGGGAAACACTGTTGTCGTTCCACAGGAACAGTGCGTGTCCTTAGCGGACACCCTGGTGCCGGCTCAGCACTCTGTCCCAGTCAGCTGTCCCCTTGTGCCAACTCGAACCAAGGACCCAGAAACCCACTTTGTGAAGTAGGCTCTCATGCATTTCGTCCTTCTGCCCGGAAGCCTGCGTCTCCGCCCTCACCACAGTCTCTTCGGTGGCCGAGGAGGACGGCCGTGTACCGGGAGCCTGGGAGTGAAGCTCACGACGACTGTGACGTGTCGTGTCTTTACCCGAGACGCTGTGTTTCCACTGCGCCCGTGGTTGTGTGTGTGACCAGCAGACAGTCCTGAAGCGATGAGTTAGATTGCGGGCCTGTGTCCTCAGCGTCAGCTACCACGTCTAGTTCAGTTCCGTCGGTGTCCCCAGCAGCATGGTGTGGACTTCATTTACCCCAGGATTGGACTGTGGGTGTTTGCATCAAGTGGCAGCTCCTCGCCATTCCGTTCACAAGTCAGTCCCTAAGTGACAGGTGCGCGTCGTGGCTGGTCACCAGCCCTCACTTCTCAGGCTGTCGTGTGGGGTCACAGTGCGCCTGTCAGTCCCCACATAGCCGCTCAGCGGGCGGGCATGGCTCTCCGGTCTCCCAGTCGTGAACCCACGTGAGATAGCAGCTCGAGGCAGGGAGCAGGCGGACGGGTGCAAGTGCGGGAGGAGGGAGGGGGTGGCCTGGGGCGCAGTGAGTCGGACCTGATGGCCGGAGGCGTCACCGTGGCACCCGACAGTGGGCACCTCGCACACTGCGCTCCAGAGCCCCGGCGCGCAGCCCCAGGGACCAGGCGGTGCCAGACTGCGCGGGATGAGCAGAGGTGGAGGGTGAGGCCCCAGGGCCCCCGCGCACAGGCTTCCGTCCAATTGGCTGAGAAGGATCCCCTGGGGCTGCGGGCCCCACGGACACACTGGAAGCCGCTGTGGTCCTGGGAGAAGCGGAACAGCCCGAGGCAGGGAGTGTGCTCTGCGTGGGAGTTACACCCCGAGGGCACAGCACCTCCTCACGGGACGTCACCTCGCGTCAGTGCTTCTGGGGTCTCCTGTCGGTGTGCTGACACTGGGCTGCTGTTCGTTCCCTAGGCGTTTGTGCCGACGGGGAGTTCGGTGTTCTGCCAGCAGTGGTCAGAGCTGCGGACAGCATCGTCTTCCCAGTGATCGGCACACAGCTGGTCACCAGCTGAGCTCGTGTAGGCACCTGCGGGCCTGCGCCGCTCCGCTCGGGACTGCGTCCAGACCCACTGGAAACCCTGTCTCCGGACCTTGGGCACGAGGGCCTTTCTCAGAGTAGCCCCGAGACTGGCAGGCGACTGCGCTGGTCCTTTCACGGGGGCGGGTTGAGATCCGTGTGCTTTGTGTCTGGTGGGTCGCACTGCGGGTGGTTCCGGTGAGGACCCCCTGCCGTGGGCCACAGCCAGAGCCGTCTCCCTCAGAGGTGCCCGGCATTTTCACTCCCAGACTGCATGCAGAGGACTGGTGCTGACGGCTTGCTCCCCGAAACTCTGAAATAGAAGTGCTTTTCTGGCAGGAGGGGGGCAGTCTGGTTCACCCACTGAATCAAAGTACGCAGTGCCTTTCTGTTTTGTCCTGTTATCTGTATGGACTGTTCTACCCCACCTAGTGCTCTGAAAGCAAGTTGAAATGCTTCACATCTCAATTTACTTTTTTTTTTTTTTTTTCATTTACCTTCAGATAGAGCAGGAGGGAGAGAGGGAGGAAGAGAGAGAGAGAGAGAGAAACATTAATGTGAGAGACACTCGAGTGGTTGCCACCCACACAACCCCAACTGGGGCCAAGGACAAACTGCAACCGAGGGACGTGCCCTTAGCAGGAACCGAACCCAGGGCTCTCTGGTCCGCAGGCCGACGCTCTAACCGCTGAGCCAAACTGGCCAGGGCCATATCTCAATTTACTTTCTGCTTCTCAGTACGAATCTGTAGTCGACATAATTACGTATCAACAGACGCTTTGGTGTAAGTGTCTGGGGCGGGTCTGTGTGGTTTCTGCTGTTGTTAGTAAACACTCCACTGGGCAGGACTTCACTGTGAACGGATGGGGGACCAACCGGAACCTGTCTGAGAAGCAGCGCATGCTCGGATCCACGATGCCTGTCCGTCTGGTTGATGCCCCTCCTGTCGCCACCTCTGCCAGCCGTGCCCGTGCAGGGCGCAGAGACCACCCCCGTTGTGGGACTCGACGCTGCAGCCCAGTCTGGTGCCTCCTTCACTGTGGTCTTGGTTGTTGTTCATTAGCTACGACAGTGCGTCAGAGACTGGTCAGCTCTCCTGACTTCACCAGCTACTCACTTTGTAACCACAAACGAGTTGTGGGGCTCACTGCACTGGTCGACTCATCTATAAATGAAGAAAGTGGTGGCGCCCACCTCTCGTGAGAGAACACGTGCAGTGTGCCCAGCTCAGACCTCGACCCTGCTCTGCGCCAGGTGCTGTCCTGAGTGTGGAAGTAACGAGGCACGGCCCCGGCCTGCTCAGATCTCACGGGAGGGGACGGACCGACCTGGATGCAGAGTGATTACAGTGCCAACTCCTCATGCAGCTGTCAGCCTGGGCGGCCTTATGGGGCGAGGGACATCCCCCACGCGAGAGCCAGCCTATGAACGAGGATTGCTTCTGTGATACAGACTGACGGCAGTCAGTGGTCATGACGCCGTGTTTCGGGTAAGTAAGTAAGTGCAGCAGAACAGGGACGGAGGGAGACCCACCGGGAGGCCCTTGTGTAAATGCCTCTCCTCTTCGTCAGGTTTCCCCAGCGTCTGCCAAGTGCACCTCTTTGCGGGAAGCCTGGCCAGCGTCATGTGACCCGGGGTGTGCAGACCGGGGTCTCCATGGAATGGTAGCTGTCCCTCTTATATGTGGTTCTCTCTGACCGTGTTTGACCCCCAGAGTTTGCGTTTTACAAGACTACCTTGTTCTTGAGTGGCATTGAGTAGCTTGAAGGGAGAATGACTTTGAAATGTCGGCACCAGAGACGACTAGCCTTTGATAGGAAGCTAGGAGTTGCCTGGTTCATTTCTGTTCATTCTGCACAAGCCCATGAGGCAGCATCAGGGGTGACGGAGGTCTGGGCCAAGATGAGCCCTAGAGCTTCAGGAACTAAAGGGGAAACTTGGACCCCCCCCCCCAGCCCCCGAGGTTTGGTCAGTCCTCCTTCCTCAGCCCCAAGTGATGAGAAGCTTTGGGCAACCTGGAACCAGCATGCACAGCCCAGGCCCTGGTTGTCCGAGTCAGGGGAGGGGCCCCCGGCTTGTTTCCAAGCTGCTTGTCCACTCGGACCCGGCCTTCGGATTTCTCGTAGCCACTTGCTGTTGCAGCGAATTCATCAACGCTCAGTTTATAACCCTGCTGCTCCTTTAGTCAGAAATCAGAAATGGTCCCTAATACCAAGTGCCCAGTTTTCTTATTGTGTTATCAAACTGAAATAAAATCGTATATAATTTTTCTGTCTGTTTTCTTAGCTTTCAAAGCAATGTGTGTTTAAAATGAAAACGAACGGTGTATTGCCATAACTGAGCTGTGCTGCGCGGTTTGGCCGTAACTGTGGTGGTGATGGGCACAGATTCCTGAGCTGTGGGGGCAGTTGTTTGGATCCGACAGCTGGCTGCATTCAGTCTCGGAGCTTTTCACTTTGCGTGGGAACGGGAGGCGGGGGTGTGGGAACTGCGTGGAAGAAAGCAATCCACTCTGCTCAGCCTCCTGCATTTGTTTACGTCCCAGTAATAACGCCGTCCAGCTGTTTGAACAGCTGCCTGTTCATTTCCTTCTGTTTACCGTTTATGAAGCTTGTCTTTAATACCTGCTCACTGTCTGCTCTTGAACCAGCTTCCTTCTATGTTTACTATGTTTATTACGTACCGGTCTCTTTTGGTCTACACATACTTTGAAGTTTTAAGTTAATTTACGAAAAGAAAAAAATTTTTTTAATTCTGCAGGTCATACTGGAGTTGGCTTATACTTGCCCCTTAGCTTTATTATTTTAGTTTAATAGTTTATAATTTGGTACATAAATCACTTTTTGAAATGATGCCAGAATTTCTATCATGTTAAACCACCGTTTATGTTGACTTCCTAAGTCTGCCAATAGGTAGCTTGGTGTGCATGGTCCAGAATAGTAAAGAGAACGGTCAGACTGACCATAAAGTACGTGGATTGTGTCTGGGAGCAGGTGGCACCATGAAAGGTGCGTGCAGACACGCGTGCCACAGCGTGTTCGATGCTGTGACACTGGCGTTCTCTCTGCAGATGAGGGACTTGTCCATCGCCTACATGCTGGTGACGCTGACCTATCTCTATATCGGGATCCTGGTCTTCGCTTCGTTTCCTTCCCCGCCGCTATCCAAAGACTGTATAGAACAGGTAAGGCACGGCGCACCCTCTCCGGGTCGCTCCGCCGTCACATCTGCGCTCACCATCTCTGCTTTTCACTCCATGCGGGGAGTGGGCGACCTTCCCTCCTTCCCGAACCTCCTCTTCCTCCCCGTGAGCCCGCGTGACACAGGTGCCGTGCGTCTGTAGACGGACTCAGCAAACCTGCCCCTGCTGTCCCTGCGCTCGGACACGTGGCTCTGTTACCCGCACGGCCCTTCTCCGTGTGGAGACATGGTAGTGTCTGGAGACATGGTAGTGTCACGGACTCGCAAACGCAAGCATCCACTCCACTCCCTGTGTTCCAGCGCCCTGACCCAGTGCTGTCCTGGCCTAGCCCGCACCCCAGTTCTACAGGCCCTGCCCCCACCCAGCGACGTCCTGGGTTAGCCCGAACCCCAGTTCCACAGGCCCTGCCCCCACCCAGCGACGTCCTGGGTTAGCCCGCACCCCAGTTCCACAGGCCCTGCCCCCACCCAGCGACGTCCTGGGTTAGCCCGCACCCCAGTTCCACAGGCCCTGCCCCCACCCAGCGACGTCCTGGGTTAGCCCGAACCCCAGTTCCACAGGCCCTGCCCCGACCCAGCGACGTCCTGGGTTAGCCCGCACCCCAGTTCTACAGGCCCTGCCCCCACCCAGCGACGTCCTGGGTTAGCCCGAACCCCAGTTCCACAGGCCCTGCCCCCACCCAGCGACATCCTGGGTTAGCCCGCACCCCAGTTCTACAGGCCCTGCCCCGACCCAGCGACGTCCTGGGTTAGCCCGAACCCCAGTTCCACAGGCCCTGCCCCCACCCAGCGACGTCCTGGGTTAGCCCGCACCCCAGTTCTACAGGCCCTGCCCCCACCCAGCGACGTCCTGGGTTAGCCCGCACCCCAGTTCCACAGGCCCTGCCCCCACCCAGCGACGTCCTGGGTTAGCCCGCACCCCAGTTCTACAGGCCCTGCCCCCACCCAGCGACGTCCTGGGTTAGCCCGCACCCCAGTTCCACAGGCCCTGCCCCGACCCAGCAACGTCCTGGGTCAGCCCGCACCCCAGTTCTACAGGCCCTGCCCCCACCCAGCAACGTCCTGGGGTAGCCCGCACCCCAGTTCCACAGGCCCTGCCCCCACCCAGCGACGTCCTGGGGTAGCCCGCACCCCAGTTCCACAGGCCCTGCCAAGCAGGCTGGCAGCAGGCAGCAGGAAGACAGAGGGCCAGGCGGAGAATAGACTAGAAGAGACACTGTTTCACTAAAAGGTGCCCTGAGTAATATTTTCTTTGATTTGATCCACCCTTAATTTAGGCGTAGTGGAGTCTGTAGTTTAATGAGACTGCAGAATTTCTCACAAAAAATGCCATTTCATGGTGACCTTATTTCTGGTCAGAAGGAAATTTCCGTTATAGGAAGTTTCTCTTGCGGTGGATATACAGTGTGTTTATCCCAGAAGAATTGCGAAGGTCATTTCAGCACAATGGTGCTAATAACGTGTCCTCTTTGTAAGGTCTGAGTTACTGCTGTTAGCTGGCTTGAAATGTTCTTCTCTTGGTTTCCTTCATTCCAGAAGTTCTTTGGCAGCCAATTTTGCCAAAAATTCCATCAATGTGAACAGGCCATGTGAAGCCCACTCCCTTGGAGGGGGGGATATCTGTGGTATTTTATTTGAAAGAGGGGGTGGGGCGTTAACTACTTATTTTAGGTGCCAAGCTAACATGGAGAAAAGAATCATGAAAGGAAATAGAAACAAATCCTTTTCCATTCCGTGACAGACTGTAAACAACAGTAATACTGGGTGATAGACATACTTTGCTCCACTCTGTCCTCGGCTTTGACAGTGCATCCGTGGCCGTAGGACAGGGTCACGTTCGCTCCAGGGAGCTGCTGCAGCGTATCATCAGACAGGAGCCGCTGCAGCGTATCATCAGACAGGGGCCGCTGCAGCGTCTCATCAGACAGGGGCCGCTGCAGCGTATCACACAGGGGCCGCTGCAGCGTCTCATCAGACAGGGGCCGCTGCAGCGTATCACACAGGGGCCGCTGCAGCGTATCATCAGACAGGGGCCGCTGCAGTGTATCATCAGACAGGGGCCGCTGCAGCGTCTCATCAGACAGGGGCCGCTGCAGCGTATCATCACACAGGGGCCGCTGCAGCGTATCATCAGACAGGGGCCGCTGCAGCGTATCATCAGACAGGGGCCGCTGCAGCGTCTCATCAGACAGGGGCCGCTGCAGCGTATCATCACACAGGGGCCGCTGCAGCGTATCATCAGACAGGGGCCGCTGCAGCGTATCACACAGGGGGCCGCTGCAGCGTATCATCAGACAGGGGCCGCTGCAGCGTATCATCAGACAGGGGCCGCTGCAGCGTATCATCAGACAGGGGCCGCTGCAGCGTATCACACAGGGGCCGCTGCAGCGTATCATCACACAGGGGCCGCTGCAGCGTATCATCAGACAGGGGCCGCTGCAGCGTATCATCAGACAGGGGCCGCTGCAGCGTATCATCAGACAGGAGCCGCTGCAGCGTATCATCACACAGGGGCCGCTGCAGTGTATCATCAGACAGGGGCCGCTGCAGCGTATCATCAGACAGGGGCCGCTGCAGCGTATCATCAGACAGGGGCCGCTGCAGCGTATCACACAGGGGCCGCTGCAGCGTATCATCAGACAGGGGCCGCTGCAGCGTATCATCAGACAGGAGCCGCTGCAGCGTATCATCACACAGGGGCCGCTGCAGCGTATCATCAGACAGGGGCCGCTGCAGCGTATCATCAGACAGGGGCCGCTGCAGCGTATCACACAGGGGCCGCTGCAGCGTATCATCACACAGGGGCCGCTGCAGTGTATCATCACACAGGGGCCGCTGCAGCGTATCATCAGACAGGAGCCGCTGCAGTGTATCATCACACAGGGGCCGCTGCAGCGTATCACACAGGGGCCGCTGCAGCGTATCATCACACAGGGGCCGCTGCAGCGTATCATCACACAGGGGCCGCTGCAGTGTATCATCACACAGGGGCCGCTGCAGCGTATCATCAGACAGGAGCCGCTGCAGTGTATCATCACACAGGGGCCGCTGCAGCGTATCACACAGGGGCCGCTGCAGCGTATCATCACACAGGGGCCGCTGCAGTGTATCATCACACAGGGGCCGCTGCAGCGTATCATCAGACAGGAGCCGCTGCAGCGTATCATCACACAGGGGCCGCTGCAGCGTATCATCACACAGGGGCCGCTGCAGCGTATCATCAGACAGGAGCCGCTGCAGCGTATCATCACACAGGGGCCGCTGCAGCGTATCATCACACAGGGGCCGCTGCAGCGTATCATCACACAGGGGCCGCTGCAGCGTATCATCAGACAGGAGCCGCTGCAGTGTATCATCACACAGGGGCCGCTGCAGCGTATCACACAGGGGCCGCTGCAGCGTATCATCACACAGGGGCCGCTGCAGTGTATCATCACACAGGGGCCGCTGCAGCGTATCATCAGACAGGAGCCGCTGCAGCGTATCATCACACAGGGGCCGCTGCAGCGTATCATCACACAGGGGCCGCTGCAGCGTATCATCAGACAGGAGCCGCTGCAGCGTATCATCACACAGGGGCCGCTGCAGCGTATCATCACACAGGGGCCGCTGCAGCGTATCATCAGACAGGAGCCGCTGCAGCGTATCATCACACAGGGGCCGCTGCAGTGTATCATCACACAGGGGCCGCTGCAGCGTATCATCAGACAGGAGCCGCTGCAGCGTATCATCACACAGGGGCCGCTGCAGCGTATCATCACACAGGGGCCGCTGCAGCGTATCATCAGACAGGAGCCGCTGCAGTGTATCATCACACAGGGGCCGCTGCAGTGTATCATCACACAGGGGCCGCTGCAGCGTATCATCAGACAGGGGCCGCTGCAGTGTATCATCACACAGGAGCCGCTGCAGTGTATCATCACACAGGGGCCGCTGCAGCGTCTCATCAGACAGGGGCCGCTGCAGCGTATCACACAGGGGCCGCTGCAGCGTATCATCACACAGGGGCCGCTGCAGCGTATCATCAGACAGGGGCCGCTGCAGCGTATCATCAGACAGGGGCCGCTGCAGCGTATCATCAGACAGGGGCCGCTGCAGCGTATCACACAGGGGCCGCTGCAGCGTATCACACAGGAGCCGCTGCAGCGTATCATCAGACAGGGGCCGCTGCAGCGTATCATCACACAGGGGCCGCTGCAGCGTATCATCACACAGGTGCCGCTGCAGCGTATCATCACACAGGTGCCGCTGCAGCGTATCATCACACAGGGGCCGCTGCAGCGTATCATCAGACAGGGGCCGCTGCAGCGTATCATCACACAGGGGCCGCTGCAGCGTATCATCAGACAGGGGCCGCTGCAGCGTATCATCAGACAGGGGCCGCTGCAGCGTATCATCAGACAGGGGCCGCTGCAGCGTATCATCAGACAGGGGCCGCTGCAGCGTATCATCACACAGGAGCCGCTGCAGCGTATCATCACACAGGAGCCGCTGCAGTGTATCATCACACAGGAGCCGCTGCAGCGTATCATCAGACAGGGGCCGCTGCAGCGTATCATCAGACAGGGGCCGCTGCAGCGTATCATCAGACAGGAGCCGCTGCAGTGTATCATCAGACAGGAGCCGCTGCAGCGTATCATCACACAGGAGCCGCTGCAGTGTATCATCACACAGGGGCCGCTGCAGCGTATCATCAGACAGGAGCCGCTGCAGCGTATCATCAGACAGGGGCCGCTGCAGCGTATCATCAGACAGGAGCCGCTGCAGCGTATCATCAGACAGGAGCCGCTGCAGCGTATCATCACACAGGAGCCGCTGCAGCGTATCATCAGACAGGAGCCGCTGCAGCGTATCATCAGACAGGGGCCGCTGCAGCGTATCATCAGACAGGGGCCACTGCAGCGTATCATCACACAGGGGCCGCTGCAGCGTATCATCACACAGGGGCCGCTGCAGCGTATCATCACACAGGGGCCGCTGCAGCGTATCATCACACAGGAGCCGCTGCAGCGTATCATCAGACAGGAGCCGCTGCAGCGTATCATCAGACAGGAGCCGCTGCAGTGTATCATCACACAGGAGCCGCTGCAGCGTATCATCACACAGGAGCCGCTGCAGCGTATCATCAGACAGGAGCCGCTGCAGCGTATCATCAGACAGGGGCCGCTGCAGCGTATCATCACACAGGGGCCGCTGCAGCGTATCATCACACAGGGGCCGCTGCAGCGTATCATCACACAGGGGCCGCTGCAGCGTATCATCAGACAGGGGCCGCTGCAGCGTATCATCAGACAGGGGCCGCTGCAGCGTATCATCAGACAGGGGCCGCTGCAGCGTATCATCAGACAGGGGCCGCTGCAGCGTATCATCACACAGGAGCCGCTGCAGCGTATCATCACACAGGAGCCGCTGCAGCGTATCATCACACAGGAGCCGCTGCAGCGTATCATCAGACAGGGGCCGCTGCAGTGTATCATCAGACAGGGGCCGCTGCAGCGTATCATCAGACAGGAGCCGCTGCAGCGTATCATCAGACAGGAGCCGCTGCAGTGTATCATCAGACAGGGGCCGCTGCAGCGTATCATCACACAGGAGCCGCTGCAGTGTATCATCAGACAGGAGCCGCTGCAGTGTATCATCAGACAGGAGCCGCTGCAGTGTATCATCAGACAGGGGCCGCTGCAGTGTATCATCAGACAGGGGCCGCTGCAGTGTATCATCACACAGGAGCCGCTGCAGCGTATCATCAGACAGGAGCCGCTGCAGTGTATCATCAGACAGGAGCCACTGCAGCGTATCATCAGACAGGAGCCGCTGCAGCGTATCATCAGACAGGAGCCGCTGCAGCGTATCATCAGACAGGAGCCACTGCAGCGTATCATCAGACAGGAGCCGCTGCAGCGTATCATCAGACAGGAGCCACTGCAGCGTATCATCAGACAGGAGCCGCTGCAGCGTATCATCAGACAGGAGCCGCTGCAGCGTATCATCAGACAGGAGCCACTGCAGCGTATCATCAGACAGGAGCCGCTGCAGCGTATCATCAGACAGGAGCCGCTGCAGTGTATCATCAGACAGGAGCCGCTGCAGCGTATCATCAGACAGGGGCCGCTGCAGCGTATCATCAGACAGGGGCCGCTGCAGCGTATCATCAGACAGGAGCCGCTGCAGCGTATCATCAGACAGGGGCCGCTGCAGCGTATCATCAGACAGGGGCCGCTGCAGCGTATCATCAGACAGGAGCCGCTGCAGCGTATCATCAGACAGGGGCCGCTGCAGTGTATCATCAGACAGGGGCCGCTGCAGCGTATCATCAGACAGGGGCCGCTGCAGCGTATCATCAGACAGGAGCCGCTGCAGCGTATCATCAGACAGGGGCCGCTGCAGTGTATCATCAGACAGGGGCCGCTGCAGTGTATCATCAGACAGGGGCCGCTGCAGTGTATCATCACACAGGAGCCGCTGCAGTGTATCATCAGACAGGAGCCGCTGCAGTGTATCATCAGACAGGAGCCACTGCAGTGTATCACACAGGTGCCACTCAGGCCTCGCAGAGGGGCGATGTTTCCTCGGCTGTCTCACCATCCAACCGGGCGCAGGCTGACGCTTTTGTAAAGTAGAATAAAAATGTGGTGAAGTCACAGTTCTACCAAGGTCCCTGAACACATTCCCATTTGGGAACGCAGGTCACTGCCTGCCCGGCCCACACATGGCTGGTACCCGTGCCCACCGTACGCAAGGACATGACCTCTAACACGACTTTGCTCTCTTTCTTGGACTAGAACTTTTTAGACAACTTCCCCAACAGTGACATCCTGTCCTTTGTCGCTCGGATATTCCTGCTGTTCCAAATGGTGACCGTGTACCCCCTCCTGGGCTACCTGGCCCGTGTGCAGCTACTGGGCCAGGTCTTCGGCGACGCTTACCCCAGGTAAGGGCTCTTCTCTCCACCCTCAGGTGTGCCAGCAGGTCGGTGGGAAATGGGAGCCACCCTTTGCTGTAGAAATTTGTCTAATGAAAACGTCACTGAGGCCCTGGCCGGTGTGGCTCAGCGGTTAGAGCGTCATCCTGCGGACCAAGGAGTCCCGGGTTCGATTCTGGCCAAGGGCACGTACTTCGGTTGTGGTTAGTCCCTGGCCCCAGTTGGGGTCATGCAGGCGGCAGCCACTCGATGTGTCTCTCTCACATTGCTGTTTCTCTCTCTCTCTCCCTCCCCCCCCCTCCCTCCCTCCCACTCTCTGAAGATGAATGTAAGAATATCCTCAAGTGAGGATTAAAAAAAAGAAAGTGTCACTAAGAATAGACCATTGCTACTGTTCTTTTCTCTGAAGAACTTTAAAAATAGAAGACACTTTCCTGTCCAGAATTATTTACAGTCTGTTCCCTCCGGTGTACTTATATGAGCTCTAATGCCAGGCATATTTATCTCATGATTTAGTTGCTATTAGTCTACACGTTGCTAAGAAGCTAATGATATTTATTTATTTTATCCTCACCCAAGGACATTTTTCCATTTTTTGTTCAGATAGAGTGGGAGGGAGGGAGAGAGAGAAACATCAACGTGAAAGGGACATATCGAGTGGTTGCCACCTGCACGACCCAACCAGGGCCGGGGACAAACTGCAACCGAGGTACACGGCCTTAGCAGGAACCGAACCCGGCCTCCCTGGACCACAGGCCAACACTCTACCACTGAGCCAAACCAGCCAGGGCTAAGAAGTTAATGATCTTTAGAACCTGCATTAGCTACTGAGAAGCAACTCTTTTATTGGAATTATTAGTTACTGATATCGACTTGTATATTAACAGTCATGAACTTTCACATAAATGACTGTTGGTAGGTGAAGGTGAGACAACACTAAGGTTGAGTCCTTGCTCTGGAACTGCTCTGGTGGTCAAGCTCTCGCTGGTGATGGAGGAGCTGGGGGTCCTGGGAAAACGTATGCACAGCTGGTCGCCCTCACCCCAGAGGGACTTCCATCAGCCACTCCAGGGTCCCGAGACTTCCTTGTGGACCCCTGCTAACTCCCTCTCACGTTCAGTTTCATTATAGATTCATCCTCCTAAAAAGTCCCCAGTCCTGCCCTGGCCGGTTTGGCTCAGCAGTTAGAGCGACGGCCTGCGGTCCAGAGAGACCCAGGTCCAGTTCCCGCTAAGGGCACGTACCTCGGTTGCAGTTTGTCCCCGGCCCTGGTTGGTCGTGAGGATGGCGGCCACTCGATGTGTCCCTTTCATGTCGATATTTCTCTCCCTCTCTCCCTCCCCACTCTATCTGAACAAAAAATGGAAAAATGTCCTCAGGTGAGGATAAAAAAAAAAAAGTCCCTAGTCCTAACCTATTTTATTGGGAATAAATGATCTTAAATGAAGAAAACTTTTGGATAAAATTTGACAAAAAAATTATATTTACAGTAACCAACAAACAAATGGTCTTAAAAGTGAACAGTCTTTGAAGTGAACGGATGCAGTCTGTCCCCCATTAAATAAATAATTAGTTATAAATGTGTTAGTTTAAAAACCATGAACTCGGTGAAATATCTGTAACAAAAAAATAAATAAAAAATTTTTAAAAAACAAAACAAAAAAACATGAACTCTTACAAGCAGAAGTGAAGAGTCACCAGGTCTCCGCCACTGACCGTAACAGCACCTACAGCCCTAACGTCACTCGTCTAGAAGATGGGGTTTCAGTAAACGTAAGATGCCCTGTGCTACATGGATGGTCCCCAAAACAAAACGAACCCAGTGAGGTCACAGATGAGAAGCATTCTGGGTAAATGCATTATTCCGGTTTTTGCCATTATTTTGCACAATGTTGGCTAATCGAATGTTTTTTCTTCTTGGAAAAAGCCTGGAATTTCCCTCATGTTCACATTACATTTCTTCCCTTCCAAGCACATTTACCCACTTTCGAGTCCTCTGCAGATGGCATCTTCCGGAGCATGTTGGTCTTGGGACCCCTCTACCCTCTTCAGGTTTATTGAGGACCCCCAGGAACTTTGGTTTATGCCCAGCAATATTTAACATAGAAAAAAATTAAAACCAAGAATTTAAAAAATATTAATTTCTTTTAAAAGCAGTAATAAAATCATTGCTTGTTAACATAAATAACATGTTTATGAATACTGTTTCCAAAACAACTTTTGTGTTTTCAAAACTTTTCAATGTCTGATTTATGGCCATTGGATTCTTCTTCTGAATTTGAACTGCTGTGATACATTGTTTCCATTTACATGTAAGAAGAAGATACACCCTTCACATAGATGCATAGTTGGAAAAGGGAGGCCTTTTAATGGCCTCGTCAGATAATTGTGGATATTCTTCTCGGATACTCTGCCAGACCTCATCAAGTGGTAGTTCCTTAAAAATTCATTGACTTGGACACTGAGCCACACCCACGTCTGCTGGTCTGTCTTGCACAGTGGGTGTTTACCCCGCGTGATGCAGCCTCGCACGCAGTCATGGAACCTTCTGGCTCTCTGAGTTCCGAGGATGTCCACATGCTGACACGTTGCATTGTGTAGAGTCAGAATTCACCTTTGTAGTGTCACCATCAGTTTCACTGCGCAACAATCAGAAAGCTGTCCACCACAGGGTTCCATTACAGACTCCAGAATTTTGATTTGTGCTGGTAAACTCCAATTTGATCATTGGCGACACATATGACCAGTTGTCCTTGAACTGACAAGTGTCATTCATTTTCAGATGAAGCCTGTCAGGTACCCAAGTCCAAAGACATAGTCTGTCTGCCTTTCAGTAAAAATAGTGTTCTTCTCTAAGATCTGGAAACAGCCCAAGTGTCCATCAGTAGATGAATGGATAAAAAAGCTGTGGTACATTTATGCAGTGGAGTACTATGCAGCTGTAAGAAAGAAAGATCTCTTATCCTTTGAGACGACATGGAGGGACTTGGAGAGCATTATGCTAAGAGAAATAAGCCAATTAGAGAAAGACAAGTATCACATGATCTCACTTATTTGTAGAATACAATGAACAAAATAAACTGATAAACAAAATAGACCCAGAGACATAAAAAGGAGTACAGTTCAGACTGACAGACCTCAGAGGAGGGATGGATGAGATAAACCACAGAACTTGGATGCATGTGTGTGTAACCAGTGGACATAGACAACAATGCTGGGGGGATAGGAGGGCGGGATGGGGAGGAGGGTGTCAGGGGGGGAGGAGAAACATCAGTAATACAAATAAATTAATAGAAATTACCAGAAAAAAAATAGTGTTCTTTGAGGGAAAGGGCTAGGTTGCCCTCCAGCTCGGCTAGAGGTACCTTCCTCCAGACGACCCTTGGCCCTCAGCACACAGCGCGGTGCCTTGGGTGGCCTGGACGGCAGAGTGGGAAGAAGTATGTTCCACGCGTGGGCTGCAGCACTAATGACGTCGGCTCCTTCAGCAGGGACAGCGGGAAGGCAGCCCTGCTGTAGAGCGCGGGCCGCGGAGGGACATCACGGAGCGCGCACGGGCTGCGGCCGCGGCCGTGCCGCAGGCCCCGCTCTGCCCACCGTTGTCTGTGCAGAGCAGTGATGTCTCGTGTGATTATGAACATGATCTTTACCTTGGGGACTTCCAGAAAGGGTATTGGGAACTCCCTGGGGTTTGTGGTTCCACTTTGAGAACCGCTGCTTTGGAAAATACACAGAGTTGTTTCCTTTCACTGTAGAGAAGTAACAGAGGCCCAGCCAGTGTCTCCGCGACTGGAGCAGTTTTAGGGTTGGGTTTCTGGATAAACAGTAAGGTCTGGAGGCTGAATGTCCTTGTAATTCATTAGGGTGTGTGACTAACCAATCACTTGTGTAAATAATTTTTCTTATTTTTTTTTAATCCTCACCCGAGGATATTTTTCTGTTTATCTTCAGATAGAGAGGGAGAGAGAGAATCATCGATGTGAGAGAGACACATCAATTGGTTGCCGCCTGCACGACCCCAGCTGGGGCCAGGGACAAACCACAACCAAGGTACGTGCCCTTGACCAGGAATCGAACCTGGGACTCTCTGGTCTGAGGCTCTAACCACTGAACCAAACTGGCCAGGATTAATTTTTCTTATTTTTAATTCTTTGTAATCTTGATCTGGGATTAATTAAGCTCTGATAACTTGGGCTCAAAAGTTGCTTTCCTGTGTCAATTTGGCGTTTAAGAATCATGTTTTTGGGCCCTAGCCTGTTTGGTTCAGCAGTTAGAGCATCAGCCTGCAGTCCAGAGAGACCCGGGTTCGGTTCCCGCTAAGGGCATGTACTACAGTTGCAGTTTGTCCCCGGCCCTGGTCGGTCGTGCGGGTGGCAGCCACTTGATGTGTCCCTTTCACATCGATGTTTCTCTCTCTCTCCTCCTCCCATTCCATCTGAACAAAAAGTGGAAAAATGTTCTCGGGTGAGGATTAAAAAAAAAAATTAATCATGTTTTTGGGACATGGGTTTATTTCTTGAGCATCAGATTTCACCTGCATTGTTTTTATTTGTGTCCAAAGTGATTCCCAGACCTTGAATCACCAGCTTCTAGGTCACGTCGTCAGTCAGTATTCTGCTCACAGTAAAAGCCGAACAGCCTCAAGTGGCTGTTCTGAAAAATAAGGGCCTGCCCATGCTGCCTTGTCCTTAACTTAAAGTCTCTAATTATAAAAGTAAAATAAACTCCTTAAAAATAGCATAAAATACAGAAACTTCGTTAACTACAGGGGAGAGAGAACATCACGCCTGGTCCCAGATCTAACGCTGCCGCCGCGGCCTTCTCCGTGTTCCCTTCTGGCCTTTGCTCGGGTGTCTGCAGGTTTTCCTGTGCAGGAGAAGTCTAGCTGGCTTCCCCCAGGCTGCCAGAGGCATTGTTGCCACCTCAGCAACGATGACAAGTGTTTCTCATAATTTTCAACACGTGCCATCAAGAACTGTCCCCTTGCTGTCTGACACCCCTGTGTTCTCAGGCATCTTTTTTTTCCATCCTCACCCGAGGACATTTTTCCATTTTTTGTTCAGATAGAGTGGGAGGGAGAGAGAGGAAGAGAGAGAGAGAGAAACATCGATGTGAAAGGGACACATCGAGTGGCTGCCACCTGCACGACCCAACCAGGGCCGGGGACAAACTGCAACCAAGGTACATGCCCTTAGCGGGAACCGAACCCGGGTCTCTCTGGACCGCAGGCCGACGCTCTAACCGCTGAGCACACCGGCCAGGGCTCAGGCATCTTCATGGGCATGGCTTCCCCATGCGTTGACAGTGCTGCAGCGGAATCACGGGTCAGTGTGGGCGGTGACACCGGGTACCGCTTTGCCAGCACAGCACAGCCTGATGCCCTGAGCGCACGGGGGCAGGGCCGGCCCGGCCTCGCTCCCCCGGGGCCTCTGCTGCGATCCTCTCGCCACGTCGAAGACATTCTGATTTTAAAGATGTTCACGATAAATCGTATTCTCATAGGAATGGTTGTAATTTGCCAATTTTTATTTTCTTTCCCTCTACACTTTCTCTTCGACTTCCAGCATCTTCCACGTCACGATTCTGAATCTAGTCATTGTGGGGGCCGGCGTGAGCATGGCCTGCTTGTACCCGAACATAGGAGGCATCATAAGGTACTGCTGCAGGGACCGCCCGCCACGGTGGTCACCTACTCCCCTGTGGTTGCTGCTGTTCCCCCGTGATTGTGGGGAAATTCAGTGCTGGGAGCTGGCGGTGTGTGCGCAGTGCCCTGTGCCCACAGGTGCCGGTGCCCGCGACCTGCTCGCCACCTCCCGTCTGCGCCTTTCCGACGGGACACCGCCAACTCCTAGCTTTGGGCACCTGCTTCTCATTGTGTTCTGCTGTGTCCCTTTCTTCTTGCCCAAGATATAAAGTTACATGTAACAATATGTAACAACTCAGGGTACCCGGCAGGTCTGTGTGTCCAGGCTCTGTCCTGACGTTCTTAGCCCCTGTCCACTCAGGAACGGAGTTCAGAGGCAGCCGTAGTCAGAAAGGAAGAGTCCAGCCAGGGGTTTAGATCCCAGACGGCTCTTTCCCTCATATCCTTTTTCCAGAAACATTGTGACATTCGGAGAAAACGTTGAGCAGACTGGGAGTAGCGAGGTGGCATCCGAGTCCCAAGACACGGGGCAGGAGGGCCTCCCCGGACCCACAGGGAGCAAGGCCAGGGGGCGTCTGAGGACCTTCCCGGAGAGAGTAGTGAGCGACCCAATGCTCCTTGGACACAGGGGACTTACAAGTTCCTGGCGACCCGTTCAGGAGAACCCGGGGCTCGGGGCAGGCGCCCACCGGGCAGGCTCGTGCCTAGGTGTTTTGTTACCGTCTCTGATATTGATGCCGAAGGCAGGGAGGTGTTCGTCTGCTCTGGCTTAGGCAGATACTAGCAGCCCTCCCGACACGCAGCATGCGTGGGTGGTTCATCAGAGACCAGAGATGGCCTGTCTCCAGCTGCGTCGAGGACTGGTGGAGATTTGTGAGATGAATAGAACTTCGTCAAGCAGGTGCCGTAAAGACGAAGAGGAAATAATAGTTTATATTCACTTAGCAAGTGAAATGACTTGAGTTCAAATGCTTTATGTCTGCAACAAATGAATAAAGTAACTTTGTTCTGTCAGACTGAGGACAGTGTGACTTGTCCCGTGCGCACCTTACGTGCGAGCAGGTGCAGGTGGGCAGTGACCCAGAAAGCCTCTCTTTTCCAGGTACTCGGGAGCAGCCTGCGGCCTGGCCTTCGTGTTCTTCTATCCGTCTCTCATCTACATCATCTCCCTCCGCCAGGAAGACCGTCTGACGTGGCCCAAACTGATCTTCCACGTGTTCATCATCGTCCTGGGCCTGGCTAACCTGATCACTCAGTTTTTTATGTGAAATGCCCTGCTGTCGCGTCAGGGTCGTCGTGGTGTCGCACATGAACTCACCTGTCCGCGCAGCTGCTGCCGTGACCCTCAGCGTGGTCCCGGGCGCAGTGGAGAACGAGGGGAAGCATGACGCGTCCCCGAGCGACCCCGATGACCGCGGGGAAGAGGACAAGAACAGCCTCTGTCAGCTCTGCCTCTTCACACTCTGTCCCCTCTTCACCTCGTCGTCTGTCCTGTGCAGTGTCCGCCCCCAGGAAAGGTCACGCTGTGTTTTCAGATGGGCGGTGGGTTGGTGTGTTTTTTACGACAATAAAGGTTCTCAGGGTGCCACACAGCAGTGTCCTGCCAGACCCCGCCTCTGCTTCGTGTGTCAGGGTGTCTGCCCTCGTTTTATTACTCGCTAGACCATTCTTGCGGTTTGCCTGAACCTCTCCTGTTTGGGACAGTAAACCAAACGCCTCGTTTTTAAGCAGATCTCCGTGACATCAGTGATGATACACTGAATCTTTGCCCTTGTCCTCAATCTATCTGAGAGAGAGAGAGAGAAGGCCCCTGCAGGCCCCGTGGTCGTGAAGTTTATGCAGAATAAGTGAGCAGATGGAGGTTGTCGCTGCCTGACTTCTGTCCAGGACCAGGGACCTAGGTCAGAGCAGCCCCCGGCCAGGTTCTGTGTAGCGTCAAGTACGAGCGCCCTGTAGATCCAGGGGAGTGTGTTGGGGGGTCCTTTGCTTTCTGGAGTAGGATGTCGAGACAGGACCCGTGGGGAGAGTGGGCAGCGAGGCCAGGGGCTCCCTGAGGCCCCACAGGGGAGGAGCGGAGCAGGGAGGCCGAGTGGGGCCCAGTGTTCTCTGGTTTCATTACAACAGGGAAGGACTAACTCTGTGTGGGGTGTGCCCTCCAGAAGGACACCCGTCCTGTAACTGCAGGGTAGAGGTTAAACCCCCCAAAGAACTCTGGATCTGACCAAAGAATGGGGGAGCCTGAGTTCTGGAATTGGTGCCGTCGCTCAGGCTGAGCTCAACCGGAAGAAGCCAGTCCCTGCCCTGCGTACAGTGCGGCTCCCTGGGCCGCTGCGGAGCCAGAGCTGAGTCGGGCTGCCGCTCACAGGGCGCTGTGTTCACACCCGCCCCCTCCCGGGTAGTGTGTCTTCTTCCGAGAAAGGGGGGGAACGCCCTGGCCAGTTTGGCTCAGCGGTTAGAGCGTCGGCCTGCGGTCCGGAGAGACCCGGGTTCGGTTCCCGCTAAGGGCACGTACTTCGGTTGCAGTTTGTCCCCGGCCCTGGTTGGTCATGCGGGTGGCAGCCACTCGATGTGTCCCTTCGCGTCGATGTTTCTCTCTCTCTCTCTCCCTTCCTCTCTCTCCCTCCCACTCTGTCTGTACAAAAAATGGAAAAATATCCTCGGGTGAGGATAAAAAAAAAAAAAAAAAAAAAAAAAAAAAGGGAGAAAGGGGGGGAAGGAGCTTGCCCAGCCAGGGAAGAGCCCAGACGGAAGTCCTTCCCGCGAAGCCGCAGCCTCGTCCGCCGACGCCCACACACCCGCGAACCGTTTCCTAACGCTCCTGGAAGGCTCCGGGGCGGCTCCGGGGGCCCCCCCAGCAGACCAGAGCGGAGCACAGTGGGCCAACCCCGGCGATGCCCAGCCCTAGGTGGTCACGGTGACTGCTGAGCCGGCCACCTGCCCCTTCTTGCACACTGGCACACTCAAGCCCATCTCGGACGGGACGTCCTGCCCTCTCCACAGACCCCAGCGTGCACACCCAGCCTCTGCCCTCGGCCGCACCGGGACGGACAGTCCCGCCCGAAGTCTGCCAGTGGGAACTGCTGGTGGACGTCGGGTGGATCAGACACCCGTGTGCGGTGTCTGGCTCTGTGTCAGCCTATCTCAGCACCGGCGTGTGGTGCGTGGAGCAAGGTGTCTGCTCGGAAGTCCTGCGACGCGGGCGTGGGAAGTCAGGCAGCTCTGTGAGATCTAGGCTTGAGCCCTGTCCGCCCCTGGCTGCCCCCTCGCCTCTGAAGACGGGAGTTCTCATGCCTGAATGTTTTAACATGGAAACATGATTTGTTACATTTTTGCCCATTGGGTGATCAAAGTGGACAGGACGAGGAATGTATCATTTACTCAACTGAACAGCAGTGTGGGATTTGCTTTATGTTTTTTAAAGACTCCAAACCCTGCGTAGGGTTGTGCCGGCTGAACTGCCTTCCTTTGCTCCTCTTCGTGAAGGCCACTCGGCCTGTCACCCCGCCTGGGAAACTGGGAGTGTCCTGCGCCCACATTCGTGGGACAAGCTCGGAACTCGTCCAGACCCCCCCATAATAAATTGTAGACTCTCCACGGTCCTTTCTTTGGATTTTCTTATTCAGTTTCTTTTACTTTTTGCTCCAATGTGGTTAACTTTTGTTTCTTTGAGTTTAGCTTATTCAACACACAAGTGAAGATATAAAATTTAAAGTGGGTTTTCCGAGAAGCCTGCCTTAGAAGGCTCTGGTGAGGGGTGGTATGCCGAGACCAGGTCAGGACGGACGGAGAAATGCCCTGTGACGTTTGACAGCCGTGGATGACGGTCCAAACCAGCTTGGTCATCACACCCAAGATAACGGAGCAGAGAGTGAATTTACCCACCCGAGGGGCCTGTATCACGGGAATATTTTACTTACATTAAGTATATTTGGCAAATACAGTACAGCTAGTGTATGTAGAGGTGGAAAGTTTGTGTTACTACTTGGCGTTCATTAGGAGAATTCTGTATATTTGTATTCTGACTTATTTCCATAAACAATGGAGTGACCTGCTCAGTGCTTTAGGGGACGCAGGGGTGTATGGCATTCCCATCACAGAGGAACTTTGAACCTGGCAGAGGGACTGTGTGCAGCCAGCTGTGACCCAGGAGCTGCCAGGGACAGAAACAGGCCCTTCAGGTGGGGAGCCTGGGAGGGCTGGGAGGTAGCCCCCAGGACTGTTTCATGCTTCTAGAACCAGCCGGAAGTTTGGATGTTTGCTACATTTACCATCATGCGGGGTCTTGTGGAACGTAACCGCTTTGATTTGGGGGAAGTTCGTGTGAGATATGTTTTCCCTGCTTCTGTCTGCCCCCTGTGGACTGTTCTCTGCGTTTTAACACCGCGGCACGGGCTCCGGGCCTCGGCCAGCGAAGCCCAAGTGGTTAACAGGGGAAATGGTCAGCGACACACCGGGCAGGACAGACAAAGAGTCTCTACCACTTTCTCCGCGAAGACTTATTTAAAGATCAGTATTCAAAATGTCCACTGCGTTGAGCTCATTGATAAGAGCAGAAAATACCGAAGCGGCATGTTAGAATCGGGGGGGGGGGGGTGCTTTCTCATACACCTCGAATGCCCAAAACAAAATACAAATCTAGCTGACGCCCAAACAAAAGAAGGTGACGTGGGTGTGTGACCCCGAGTGAAGTGCGCTGGGCCGGGCTGGCCGGGTCCCCAGACTGCCGCTGACCTCGTGCGGATCATGTAAACACGGATTGCAAAACCGCTCTGACGGGAACCTCATGACCTAAACAGTGTTCTCTGGAATGTAATTTGTTGTTCTTTAATATAAAAGAAATTAAATCAAAATTATTTTGAAGCAAAACAAGTCCGGGCCTTTGTTTAATTGCATTCTGCCGGGAAATGCTGCCAGTGGCTGGGCCCCGGCGCAGAGGGAGCTGCGGCTTGTTTTCCAGGGTCCGGCTTCTCAGGAGGCGCGTGGGCCCCTCCAGCCCTGGCGCGACGGCCGCGCTGTCCCTGAGCCACCAGGAGCCCCCCCCTCCTGGTCCGGTCCTGGAGGCAGGCACGTGCTCTTTTCTGCTGACCGAACCTGGAGGACCATCCCTGTCGGACGCTTCAGAAGCAAGGAGCCAGCTTCTGCAAAGTCCGGGTCCCAGCCGCCCAGAGCCGGGGCAGCGGGGCCATGACCCCTGTCACCCCAAGTAAGGCTCCTTTCCGGGCGTTACTTCTCTGCCTTCCCCGCTCCTGCGCAGAGGCGGGCGAGGTGCCTCTGAGAGACTGGGAATGTCCCCATCCCCCTCTGCGGCCACGAGGACGGGCGGCCGGGGGCTGGGGCACGCTGTCCAGGTTCTCCCTCCTGGCTCTTTCCTAACCCACGTGAACCAGCTACGTTTGGGCACAGGGGGCACTCACACCCACTTGTGAGATCGTGTTCCATGTCTCAAATAAAATAGATCGGTCCCATGGGGTTCGGGATCAGCCCCCCAGTCGGGAAGGACGCCCCGCAGGCGGCCTGTGCGGAGCTGGGAGCACCCTCCCGAGCCCCCAGGCCTCACTGTCCTGACCCCCTCGGCCCCGGGCGCCGATCCTTGAGCCAGCGCCGCCCCCGCGTGCAGGACAAGGCTGCCATCCGTGTGCCAGCTACGTTTCTGAAGAGGAAACTTCTTTTTTTTTTTTTTTGGTACGTGCCCCTAGCGGAAACCGAACCAGGGACCCTCTGGTCCACAGGCCGAGGCTCCAGATGCTGAGCCAAACCGGCCAGGGCTGAAGAGGAAACTCAGAATCCTAGGATATGTGTGATCGCCTAAGCTTACAGCGACACGTGGATGGGCAGTGGCCACGGACTGTGAGCACCGAGACCTGTTGAGATGACGGGAGTCCACGTGAATCGCTGAGCTCGTCACGTTATGATGTGCAGGGCACATTTTCTAAAAGGATGTCGCCCTGGCCGGCTTGGCTCAGCGGTTAGAGCACAGACCACAGACTGAGAGGCCTTGGGTTTGATTCCAGTCAAGGGCACGTGCCTGGGTTGCAGGTTCGATCCCCAGCCCCAGTGGGGTCATGCAGGAGAGAACCAATCGATGTCTCTCTCATATCGATGTTTCTCTCTCTCTCCCTCCCTCCCCCTTCATTCCATTCTATCTAAAAATCGATGGAAAAATATCCTCAGGTGAGGATTAACAAAAAATATAATATGTCCAGGACACATCCTGGAAGCCAAGACCTGCCTTTGGAACAGGTGAGAGACTGCCGGTTAAAGGGACAGACCCAGGTTTAGGGGCCGGACGTGTATATCATTTGGAATTTCCTCCTAAAGAAAAACATCCTGAGTTAGGAAGATGCCCAAACATGTGGGGAGGCCCTGGCTGTAGCCCCCTCAGCTCGCCGGTGCCTCACCCACAGGCCCAGGGTGGGGACTGGAGAGGCTGCAGGGGCCGTTTGGGGCCTGGGTGCCAAGCTCTGCCTCTCTGTGCTGCTTCTACCGGATCTGAGCCTTTCTCTCTGCAAGAGTCCAACCGGATTTCGCAAAGTAGCACGGAGCACTAATTCAGTAACGGTTCATTT